CTGATGATCACACGGATGCTTTTGTGGTGAGCACCAGAAAGCACTATTGAATTTGTGTGATGTGCATCTGAGTCATGCATGGCTAATAATGGTGTGACTGTGTACAGTGTGGGAAAACTTGAGACTTTTGACATGAGTTCGAGGGCAATTTTTTTAAGCAAGAGAATTTCTTTTGTGAGAGCACTTTTAAATTCCCAACCTAGTAATTAGTTTGAGAACAGTTATTTAGAGGAAACAATTTTTCTTTAATTTGCATTCTTTTAGGATATGTATCTGAGCAATATGATTTCCTGTTTCTAAATAGGTATTATTTAATTACCCAACATACTAATGATATTGGGCTGGATGTATTAGTGCACGCCTTTGATCCCAGCACTCAGGAGATGGAGGCAGGTAGATCTCTGTGAGTTCAAGGCCACTTAGTGAGAGATCTTGTCTCAAAAAAATAAAGTAGTGCTTTCTAATGTTTCCATATCCTGCAGTCTTATGAATCTGACCATAACACATACCTTCCCTCCAGCAAGAAATAGTTTCAATTAAAGATGTGAAATTGGCATAAAGCGCCCTCAAACTGTATAGTGACACTTTGAAGTGCTACTTCTGTTTGGTTTGTTTCTGGGTTTGTTTGTTGTCTCTTTTTGTTTTGTTGTGGTTTTGTGTTGTGATGTGTTTTACATTTATTTATGTTTGTTATGTGCACATAGTAGATACAGGTGCTCTGTATCTGAAGCTGAAGTTAGAGGTGGTTGTGAGCTAGCTGGTGTGAGTTGGGAATTAAACTCAATGCTCTTCACAACCGAGCCATTTCTCCAGCCCCTGAACTTGATCTCTTGACCTCCTGCCTCATGTGCTCCTATTAAAGCCAACACACTTTTTTTTGTTATTGTTGTTATTTGGTTGGTTAATTTTGTTGTTGTTTTTATTCGGTTTTTATTTTTTGAGACAGGGTTTCTCTGTGTAGCCTGGCTGTCCTCGAACTCACTCTGTAGACCAGGCTGGCCTTGAATTCAGATCCACCTGACTCTGCCTCATAGCGCCACCATGCCCAGCTCTAAGCAATTACCTTTTTTTCTAATGACTTTTTTATTTTTATTTTATGTGCATTAGTGTTTTGTCTGCATATATGTCTGTATGAGAGTGTCAGATCATTTGGAGATGGGTTACAAATCTGCCATGTGGGTTCAGGGAATTGTTTGTGGGTTTTCTTTTGATGTGCAATGGTGTTTTGCCATGGAAGTTGGGTCTCCTGGAACTGGAGTTAGTTATGAGCTGCCACGTGGGTGCTGGGAATTGAACCCAGGTCCTCTGGAAGAGTTCTTAACTGCAGAACCATGTCTCCAGCCCCTCTGCCATCATCTTCTAAAGAAGAAGCAGAGAAGTCATCTTAAATCTCCTTTCAGGTTAACAGTGCTATACATCAATTAAAAAGCCTGTTTGCTTAGTGCATAATGCAACTTAGAGACTTTAGTACTGCCGTAAGAAATTTTAAAATGTTTGTTGTTTTGTTTTTAAGACAGGGTCTCACAGTGTAGCCCTAGTTGAGAAACTCACTATGTAGACAAGTCTGGGTTCACACTTACAAAGTTCTAATCTGCTTCTGCCACCCTGAATGCTAGGATAAAGGGCCTGTACCATCACAAGAAATAAGCGTTGATGGTAGTATTATAGGTAGAGAAACTATGAAATGCATGATAACCAAATGTGAAATATACTTAGTTACTAAATCTTTCTGAAAATTAATTACCTGTTCCTTAGACCCCTGACTTATTTTTGTATGAAGCATGTAAAATATCATTTTCTTTATCTCCTAGGCTTACTTTGCTGATGGAAATAAGGTAAGGACATTTTACCTGTAGTTTTGTTATTATTGTTGCTCTTTTGTTTTTTTGAGTTTCAAAATGACAGCATTTAGCATTCACTAACTTAGTGAAACATTTTTTTGTTTTTCCTCTTCCTGGCCCATCTTCCATTCCCACCTCATCTTCTTACCTTCCCCAAAGCAACAAGACCGTGAACCTGTATTTTCAGAAGAACTGGGGCTTGCAATAGAGAAACTGAAGGATGGATTCACACTACAGGGACTTTGGGAAGTAATGAGTTGAGCTTGAGTTGAGCTGGATTCTATTTAAATATACCTCAAGATTAAAAGATAGAATAGTTTTTATATTTATAGTTTTTATATTTGATATCTTAAGAAGTTTTTAATAATTAAGAAAAAACTTCTTAATCTTAGAAAACTGGCACTTTTCTAAAACTTATATTCAAAATTGTAACTGAAATGTACCTGGTTTGTAAATGTTTATATTGTATCTAATACTTGTAAAATAGCAATTTACAGATATTAAATGACTATGTCATGTTGGATTCAATAAAGATTTTTATTCAGCACCATTTAATGTTTTGAAAGTATTATTTTAAAAAAAATCATTCTTAAGAAATAGTCAGGTCGGGCAGTGGTGGCACACTTGGTCCTAGCACTCGGGAGGCAGAGGCAGGCAGATCTCTGTGAGTTCGAGGTCAGCCTGGACTACAGAGTGAGTTCCAGGACAGCCAGAGCTACACAGAGAAACCCTACCTCAAAAATCAAAAACAGGGGGAAAAAATTCAAAACACAAAGAGAAAAAAAGAAAAGAGAATCAAGTACTTCTTAACACAAATCTTGCTTAAATATATTATCACAGGACTCTAATACAAATACACTGTTTGTTTTTGAGACTGGGCTTTACTATTCAGCTCTAGCTGTCCAAATTACAGTTCTTAAGCACACCATTTGTAGGGGCTCATTTTTGTAAAAACTGATAATTTAACTATTGTATATATCAGTACAGAATGCTAGTCTGTAAGTGATACTATGATTTTGACAAGAATGCATTTGATTTATAAGGAAATGTTTTGTTCATTCATTGACTATCTCCTTGTTTGTATTCACTGAGACTCCTTTGAACATTTCTCAGATAATATCTTTTTGGACTCCACTGACATCATGCAGTTGTTTTGGCTACAGTGGCAGTCTAAAGAAAATTGATGGAATCTTTCAACAAACAATTGTACTTAGCCAAAGGCACCCTTTTTCATTAGGGAGAAATGAGCACATAAATACATTCAAAATAAGATGTAATATGTATAATCATAGACATACAATACAACCTAGTGCTGCCCTGATTCACTAAAAAATGGTGGGGAAAAATGCTACATGTGGTTTTGTTCATATAACGGGAACGGGTTTCTAGAGATCACAAACAAAATGCGTCCATAAACATCGTTCACTGCTGTTGAAGCAGACGGGACCATAAAATGGACCACAAGCAAGGAATCGTCTCAAGCATCAGACCCTGGTATTTGTATCTGACTCACTAATCTTTTCAAATGTTATGTGTTACGTGTGGAGAGAAATGAATCATTTATGGTTTAAACAAGGGGAGCAGCTGTTAGCTTTGTCCAGTGTGTTAAAACCTTTCATGGCATCTATAAATGGAAAAAGAACCATTAGTTCTCCATTCAGCTGTCATTCTAGCAGCTGACAGTATCATCAACTCACTGTGATAGAAAATAAAAGAAAATGCCCTGCGTGCAAAGACAATTTAAAGCTTGAGAATACATAATACCCTGATTTGGGGGTGTTTGCTCCTTCAACAAATAACCGTGGAGCATCTATGGGGCCTAGAGACTGTAGAGCCTGATCACACAGACCTACAACACAAAAGTCCAGTCTTCACTGTATGTTGGGGGCACATTTAAGAACACCAGCCATTGAAACTTCAGCATCCCTGTAGCTCTCCTGAGTTCAGAATGTGATCATGACTGTGTAATAAAGGACTTCATGAAAAAATTTATAATACCATCTAGATATAAATGAACACTTGGGAGACGTGACAGGGTCTCGCATAGCCCAGGCTGGCCTTGAATTCACTGTGGAGTTGATAATCTTCCTGCCTCCACCTCACAGGTGCTGGGATTCCAGGTGGGTGCCACTATGCCTGGCTGGATTCTTTACATCACACTTTCATTCCCTATGGTGCTCCGTCATCATCAGCACCATGAGGTGTGGCTCCAGTTCCATGCTGTCCTAGACAAGGGCTGCTTTCTAAATGGTTTGGATGGGGCAGCGTGCAAGCTGACTGCATTGTCTGGGACAGCGTGGTCCTCATAGGGTTGCATCTGATCCACTTTTTAACCTTTATTTTGTGAAAGGTCCTTTTTTAGCACTTAAAGTTACAAAATATTCCCAGTAGTCACATGTTTCTGGGTCTTTCCTTTCCCCGAAGACTTAACTATTTCTCTCTGGTCTTGATTTCTTTTAAACCTTTGTCTTTAGTTTACCCTTTTGTATTACTGTTTGTCACCTCGTATCCCTTGTATGGAAAGACAGAGTGTGAATGAGTTTGGTAGTTTAGTAGTGATTATAGCATTCCTATGTGGAAATAAAGATAACTTAGGATATTTTAGAAAATTAAGTTTCTCTGCTATCCCAGTTATGGTGGAGGTATCATTATAAAGGTTATATAAAACTATTAAGTACATAAACATCTTTACGTTTCCAACTTGAACAAAAGATCTATCTGCTTTGAGTAGAAAATAACATTTTGCGTTTTAACATTGTAAACCACTGGACTCATGGCTTATGAGAATTGAAATGAACTCACTTCATATTCTTGACCTTGGCATCACTAATTCAGACAGCCAAGTAGCTTGCCACTAGGCCATTTTTAGAGGAGTGACTCATTTTTATCATCCAATTTTCTGTTAGTTCAATAAGCATTTTCTTGTGGATTCCCTTTATTAACATATGTTCCAAGACTTTCTATATCTCAAAGCTTCTCACTTCACCTGAATGTCTTGTTTCTTAGGAGTTTCCTTAGTGATCAGAAGTCCCAGTTGTTACTTTCAATCTCAGACAGCTGAACAGCTCTCCTTTCCAAGCCAGTGCTCCTAAATTCCCGTCGTTAGAGCTGGTGTCTATATTTAGCAGGTGGGATTAAATTGCAAAGGCTTCAGGCTGCTCAGAGCACACTGATCGGCCTTTTTACAGCCAGACCTGTGTGCAGCAAGGAGCGAAGACCCTCAGTGTCCCCTTCCTTACCCAGGTTCCTCACAGAATGGATTCCCAGCGGGAGCTTGCAGAGGAACTCCGGCTTTACCAATCCACCCTTCTTCAGGATGGTCTAAAAGATCTCCTGGAAGAGAAAAAATTCATCGACTGCACCCTAAAAGCAGGTGACAAAAGTCTTCCTTGCCACAGACTGATATTGTCTGCTTGTAGTCCTTACTTCCGTGAGTATTTTTTATCTGAAATTGAAGAGGAGAAAAAAAAGGAGGTAGTGCTAGATAATGTGGATCCTGCTATACTTGATTTGATCATCAAATACCTGTACTCCGCCAGTATCGATCTCAATGATGGAAACGTGCAAGACATCTTCGCCCTGTCCAGCCGCTTCCAGATCCCCTCAGTCTTCACCGTCTGTGTGTCTTACCTTCAGAAGAGACTGGCTCCCGGTAACTGCCTGGCCATCCTAAGATTGGGGCTGCTTCTTGACTGCCCCAGACTGGCCATTTCTGCCCGGGAGTTTGTGTCAGATCGCTTTGTGCAGATTTGTAAGGAAGAAGACTTCATGCAGCTATCTCTGCAGGAACTGATCTCGGTCATTTCAAATGACAGTCTCAACGTAGAAAAGGAGGAGGTAGTATTTGAGGCGGTGATGAAATGGGTGCGGACAGACAAAGAAAACAGGGCGAAAAATCTTAGTGAAGTGTTTGATTGTATTCGTTTCCGCCTTATGGCAGAAAAATACTTCAAAGATCATGTCGAGAAAGATGACATAATTAAAAGCAACCCAGAAGTCCAGAAAAAAATCAAAGTTCTAAAAGACGCTTTTGCAGGCAAACTCCCGGAACCTAGCAAAAGCGCAGAGAAGGCAGGGGCAGAGGGGGTGAATGGTGATGTTGGTGATGAAGACTTACTTCCTGGTTACCTGAATGATATTCCCAGACATGGAATGTTTGTTAAAGATCTCATCCTCATGGTCAATGACACAGCTGCAGTGGCTTACGACCCCATGGAAAATGAATGTTACCTTACTGCCCTGGCAGAGCAGATCCCCAGAAATCATTCCAGTATCGTTACCCAGCAGAATCAGATCTATGTGGTCGGAGGACTGTATGTGGATGAAGACAATAAAGACCAACCCCTCCAGTCTTACTTCTTCCAGGTAAGTAAGCAGATGCAGACACAGACACAGCCTTCTGCCATCCATTGGCCAGCTGGTGAATTTGAGGGGGTTGCTTACGCATTGCTCAGGTCGGTACCCTGCTGTGCCCTCTCACACGTTGAGACTTAAAGAGTTGGCAGAAATATTCGACTTAATATTTAGTAAAAGGTTGGTGGTAGCACAAGTCTTTAGTCCCAGCACTCAGGAGGCAGGGGCAGGCCGATCTGGTCTACAAGAGCTAGTTCCGACAGGCTCCAAAACCACAGAGAAACCCTGTCTTGAAAAAAAAAATTAGTAAAAGGCATGGTGAAGGAAGTCCTTGTATCTAACTCAGAACTCAAGATTTTCTTTCCATTCTTTGACTCCAAATACTTTATAGATGCTGGTATTTTAGTAGGAGTTAAATGTATAATATTTAACACTATTACTTGATAAATAGGTTATGGTGTTTAACTAAACGTTACTTGCCTTTACCAAAGTGCCTTATTCACTTCAAGAAAGTGGGAAATAGCCTGCTTTTCTATTTTTCCCCTTATATAGGTTTGGGAAGTAACATTTCTTATTTACTGTTACTGCATAAAAGATTTTAATGAAAAAGAAAGGACTCTAGTACATATTCTGTACACTTTGGATTATATGAGGGAAAAAAGAAAACCCTACCTCCTCAAGTGTCACTATTTGAATTGCATTTAAAAGGTATTGTCTACAATAATACACGTATTTGCTCAGTTAGATAGAGGTAGGTATTATAACTTAATCATCTGTTTGGTGTAACCATAAAACTTACAGGAAAGCAAATCTTCCTCAACTAACTGACCCTTTTAGTCCATTTGAGGAGAATTTGTTTCATGCCATCAATAGGCTGTACCTAGCAGCTTATGAGTCACTCGGTAGCAACATGAACCTCCAGTATTGCCAATATCAATACTTCATAGCTTGTGGTTAGCTCAGTAAGAATTTGTTTAGGTCATAGCTAATCATGGCCTGGGGTTTTCGGGCACTTAAATTGGAAAGGCCAGAGATAAGCAAGTGTAGAATATCATACCACAGTCACTGCATGCTCTCAGAGTACACACATACCATGCATTCACAAAATATTACCTTTCGACAACTCTTCTAACCTCAACAAAATGGAGTAATATGTATACTAATCATGTTTCTTAATTTTCTAAGTTCCAGTGAAAGACACCAGCAAAAGTATTTCAGTGTGGCCCAGAAATTTCCCCAAGCTTGAATTTCAAATTCAGATTAACTTTAGAAAGGGCCAATCCAATGAAAAAGATTGTAAATATATCCAGAAAGTGAAAAATACTAAAACACAAATGGATAGGTAGGCAGGCAGCATATGTATGTATGTATGTATGTATGTACTAGCTCATTGTTAAGTTTGCAAACACACACACACATGCATGCACACACATATACACCTTTTAAAAATATATCCAGAGCCCACACTCTCATTTTCACCTTTATTTTCTCCATCCTCTTACTTCCTTTACCTTTATTATGCTTCAGTTTCCAAGAGATCACCCATCTAAGCATGAGCCACTGAAACAGTTACACAAAGTTGGAGTGGCAACTGCCTTGTCACTTCTAAAAGGCACAAACCTAAACAACATGCCTGAATTAGAGCCATAAACAAGAGCTTTGCATGAGACTCTCAGGTTTTGTTTTGTTTTTTTTTTTTTTTTTTTTTTTTTTTTTTTTTTCTGCTCAGCTGCATGTGTGAGGTGTGTTAAGTTCAGAGTGAATTGATATTTGGTATATGCTGCAAGTAGACTATGGAGATTTGGGGCCTTAGTAAGATTTGTTTTCCCCTCCGTGGAATGAATGGATTCATCGAATTTTAGACAGCACCGAGCTTTGGGAAATTCTAGGTATAAGCCCTAATTTTAACAGTGAGGAAACTGGCATCTGAGAGGTTAAATAGCTTGGGAGCTCATCCACTAAAGGGACTGGCTGGCAGTTACTGATAGTTTGCTATAGAAAGTGCTCCCAGGGTAAGAGACAAGGTAGATACTGCAGAGCCTAAATGGGAGCTGGATCATCAGGCTGGGACTATGCTAGCTGTTGATCCACTTAAAAAAAAAAAAAAATAGTACCCAAGCTGTGTAATGAGACCCAGTCTCAAACAAACAAAACACCTATAGATTTAAACAAAGTAGTATTAGAAACCACCTGAAAAGCCATGAGAGGACACTGAGCCACAGTTTTCTCTCACCTTTCTAATCAGGAAGCCCAAATGAGATTTCCTATCTGAGCATTTTGATGAAACTCTTCAAGTCAGAACCCCATACATGTTTGTTGTGATTTCTACTCTATTATGTAGTACTTTCTCCACCCTATCCCCCGGCTGTGCTAGGAATCAAACCCGGGTTTTTGCACATGGAATCTCCTCCCCACTGAGCCCTACGATCCCTTCTTCACCAGAGATTTTTTTCAAGAGTGTAAATATTATATAGTCACAATCTAGAGGCTGAAACGGGAGACTGCAAAGTCAACACTGCGGACAGGGATTACACCCATGGCATGGCATGGCATGGCGTTTGGTCTCAGCACGTTGTTTGACTGGCACACTAGACCAGAAGCACAAAGGCTTCCACAGATGTCCCTCTGTGTCACTACCATCACCACCACCGTCTTTCCCGTTCTTGGCTACACTACGTGTGCAGTGGATCAGCTGATGCATTTCTCTCCTGCTGTCCGGGAGTGACACAAGGAGCTTCAGCCACACCCCTCAGAGTTACCTTGGTTGTTGCCCTAAAATGTAAAAAGGAATATGTTAAGATTTTAGAAAGTAAATAGCAAAACAAAAGCCAGCCAGGCCAGAATCACCAGAGAGTGGCTCTAACGGGGCTACCGCAGAGCTGGTGGCAAGCCAGATTACTTCTTAGCATAAACCAGAAACGGATTATTTAAGGTGACTCCATCCAAAATGAGGGTATCAAAATGAGTATTTTACTGTACCAAGAACAATAAAACACAGGGAACCTAGCCAGCCATGTTTAAAAGCAGAAAAGCGATATTGCTCAGCCTCTCTGTTGTCTGTGGACTGAGCGACAAGCCCAGCTGTCCCGGGTGCTGGCTCTGGGAGTGTGTTAAATATAGCATCCAGGGGTCATCGGCATACTGTGACCCCTGCCACAGACACGTCTTTCCCAGTGTCCAGAAAAATATTAAGATCCCTTGTTTCAAAACTGAACAAGGCAGTTTCAGAAGAAAATTGAACAAGAGACGGCACAGTCATAACCAACCTAGCAATTCTATTTTAGTCTCTTTCCTTTCTTTTGGGAGGGGTATTTTTTTCATGGGCTAAGTATATTTTCTCACTCTTTTTAGTTCTTTTGAGCTAAAATAGGATGCTTTAGGATTGCAGTTTTGCAAGATCTTAGACCTTCTCTGTAAATTTTAAAACAAGACATTTGTGTACCTTTTAATTACAATCTCTATAACTCATTTTTTTTCCAGCTTGATAGCATAACATCTGAGTGGGTCGGGCTCCCACCTCTACCATCAGCCAGGTGTCTCTTTGGTCTGGGAGAGGTGGATGACAAAATCTATGTGGTTGCTGGCAAAGACCTTCAAACAGAGGCTTCGCTAGATTCCGTCTTATGCTATGATCCTGTGTAAGTTGACATAATATTCCTGTCCCCTAAGCATGCTGACAACAAATTCATACTTTCACAAGCTGGAACATAAATGCTATTATCATCTAATTTTAGGGCTGCGAAATGGAGTGAAGTGAAAACTCTTCCTATTAAAGTTTATGGCCACAGTGTGATTTCACATAATGGAATGATATACTGTCTAGGCGGAAAGACGGATGACAAGTAAGTGCCCTAAAGTTCCCTTTTGATTTACATTCTAGTGGGTGCTGCAAGAGTTTCTGACTTTTTTTTTAAGACAACACACTGAAATGGCACTTGGCTTTCACACCATATTTTGCAGATAAAAATTGCAAATATAGTTTTGAAGTTATCAGAGAAACCGTAATTATTTTTGAAAAAAAAAATGATGTCTTAAAGTCACTAGACCAATAGATAGGATGTCGCAAGCTGCCAGATGAGCACAATACCATAACCATAAGCATCATAATAGGAGAAAAGCAGCATCTAGGAGCACATTCAGTTTTTTTTACTTAGCTGCTACCTAAGACCATAGTCAGTTTTTTATTTAGCTGCTCTATAACCACTTTACTACATTAAGACCAGTAGGCTTTCTTATCCAATTAACTATAAGTAGAAAACATTTAAATTTTTAATTTTGTTGTGATTAGTGTGCATGTATATATAATGTGGGGGGGTGCGGTTCCCGTGACACACATGTGGAAGTCAGAAGACAAGTTTGGTGAGCTGGTTCTCCTTCCCCCATGTGGGCCTGGGAACTGAACTCAGGTCACCAGGACAAAGGGGCCAGTGCCTTTACCTGCTGAACCATCTCTCCAGCCCCAGTGGATAGAAGCTTCCAATGTACTCTTCCAGGGTTTCTCTGTGTAGCCCTGGCTGTCTTAGAACTCTCTCTGTAGATCAGGCTGGCTTCATACTCAAAAGATCTACCTACCTCTGCCTCTGGGATTAAAGGCGTTCAGCACCATTGCCCAGCGTCAACATACTCTTTAGCATGGCATTGAAGTGTATCCAGTAGCCAACTGGTTAACAGAATATAATGTGGATTTGTACTTTATATGCACAAGAGAGAATTTATATCAGTTTGAAATGAAAAGCACAGTAATTAAAAAGAGTGCAGTTTATTTCTTGGCTTCTACGAGGTTTTAAATTAGGAAAGAGATCTTATATCTCAGAGAGTGCTCCCAAGGTCAGTTAAGCCAGGAGTCCGTCTAGTAAAATGTCAGAAAACGCACCCTTACTTGTCCCTTATCATTTGTCCAGGCTAATTATTAATAGATCTGTCCAACCATGCAAAGGTAACCTAAATTATGAATTTTAAGGGCACAGTGAGACACAGTGCCATGGATCTGTAGTCCCAGCCTGAGGCCGGAGAATCACTTGAGACCAAGATTTCCAGACCATCTAGGTGACACAGCAAGACCCCATCTCAAAACAAACACAAAAAACAAAAGATGCACAGGCATAGCAGGAAGAACAGTCAAATGTGAGCTTCTGTATCAGGTAAAGAACTCTATTCGAGAATTAGTTTTATTCGATTAAAATGATAAAATACAACACAGAAAATGTGCCCCAACATGCAATGATTTTTTTTAGTCTGCCTTCCCATATTCACAGATAGTATATCCTGAAATTAACTCTCTTCCTTAATCTTTGCTATTTCCATCAAATGAATAACCAAGGATGTATACAGTAAATGCGCTCTTAATTTGGACTTTTTCTCTGAGTAAAGGAATGAACATCTATAAAGTGTGTTATGACTGGAAACATTGGCTTCTGCCAAAATGCCTCAAATTGTTTCCTTCAGATAATATCAGTAACCAGAAAATCAATATGTCAGTAAGAAGGATTCAGGCTTGCCAGTAATGAGTATCAATCTTGAGAATCTGATTACCTAGGCAGCATTGCTTAGCAAATGTCAAAGTCAAGAATTTTGAAATGAATTATTAGCTAAAAGAAGAGGCTGAAGCTGGGGGTGTGGCTCAATAGCACTTTTCTTAGAACACGGAAGGCTTGAGGCCAATCCCAAGTACTGGGGGGGGGGGCACTGAATGGCCCTGGTGAGTATGATTCTCTATTCTGATCTTTCCAAGACCTTGCCACAGTCACCTTTTAAAAAAAATATTTATGTGTGGGGGTGTTTGTGTCATGTATGTCTAGTTACCGGGTATGTGTCTGGTGCCCTTGGAGGCCAGAGGGCATTAGGTCCCCAGAATTAGAGTTAGAGATGATTATGAGTCACCATGTGGTGCTGGGAATTGAACCTGGGTCCTCTAGAAGAGCAGCGGTACTCTAACCCACAGGAACATCTCTCCAGCCTCCTCATAGTCAAGTCCTCAAGTCAAGGGAAATGCTTATATCTGCTCTTTTTTTTTTTCAGATTAAAAATAATTATTCTTACAAAAGGGATTTTGCTTGTCTCTTGGCATTGCCAAACTGGTTACTACTGGGAATTTGGAACTACTGATCAGTTCTGAACAAGTTTAAGAAACCCTAAGGCCCAAGTCAGGTGGTGGTGGTACACTCGGGAGGCAGAGGCAGGAGGATTTCTAGTTTGAGGTCAGGGTGAGTTCTGGGACAGTCAGAGCCACAAGGAGAAACCCCGTCTCAGTCAAACAGAAAGAAAGGAAAGGAGGGAGCCAGGGAGGGAGGAGGGGAGAGAGGGAGGGAGGGAGGGAGTCAGGGAGGGAGGGAAGGATCAATCCTGAGAATATCTTGGGTGAGTCCAAGCACTAAATGTTTTATGCATTTACCACATGAAGCTGTTTTCATTACCCATCATCTTACAGTCACAATGGTTTTTAAATAAAAGATCTTACGTAGGTAAGACTGGACTCAATGCGAAATTTTTTTGGGGATTTGAACTTGGGGCCTCACACATGCCTCATTAGTCCTCTGCTACTCAGCTACATCCCTTGCCCCAGACAGAATTCTTTAAATGAAATTCTATGTACTCCATCACAAACAAAACCATACTGTTAAGTTGCTTTCACAGGAAAAAAAAACTTTTTTAATTTTTATTTTTTTATTTTTTGAGGCAGGGTTTCTCTGTGTCTTTGGAGGCTGTCCTGGAACTAGCTCTTCTAGACCAGGCTGGTCTTGAACTCACAGAGATCTGCCTGCCTCTGCCTCCCAAGTGCTGGGATTAAAGGGGTGTGCCGCCAATGCCCGGCAGGAAGAAAATTCTAAAAGGAACATTCATTGTCTTTTTTTGTTCACAGAAAGTGTACCAACAGAATGTTTATCTACAACCCGAAAAAGGGAGACTGGAAAGACCTAGCTCCAATGAAAACCCCTCGATCCATGTTTGGAGTGGCAATCCATAAAGGCAAAATTGTCATCGTGGGAGGTGTCACTGAAGATGGTCTTTCAGCATCCGTTGAAGCTTTCGACCTCAAGACCAATAAGTGAGCTGCTCTGCTACGGCACAAGTCTTGTACATTCAGTTATTGAATCTGGGTGGCACTTGCACCTTCTAAGGCGTGGGGAGGGGAGCCAGAGAGCCTTGGGTTAAAGAGGTATTTGCAACAACTCCCCACACTGTGTGCTTGTCATTTGCAATGTGTGACTCATGAGTTAATGCTGACACACTGTTTGCCTGACTGCACTAAATTTATAATTCAGTCATTTAGCAAAGGCATTATTATGAACAAAGATGGATACACATGTCTTAAGAGAATTGTTGGAGCACATGTAGTTTAAAAATTTTGGCCGGGGAGTGGTGGCCCACACCTTTAACCCGAGCACTTGGGAGGCACAGGCAGGCAGATCTCTGTGAGTCTGAGGACAGCCTGGTCTGCAGAGTGAGTTCCAGGACAGCCAAGGACGTTCCACAGAGAAACACTGCCTCAAAATACCAAACAAAAAATTAAAATATTTTCACTTGTTAACCATTAACACTCATAAATGACAAGTGCTTTATAAATTTCTGAATTTTTTTTACTGTTAAGTTTTTATTGGATTAATGTGAAAAGATACTTGACTGATATTTTTATATAAAATGAACCTTTCTAAATGTTTGAGCTTACACAATGGGTGAGTATGTATATTTTCTAGTCCTGCATTAGTACTGAAAAAAATTAGAGCAGTGTTATTACTTTTTTGAGAAACCAAATATGTATGATTACAAAATTGATATCTGCAATTTACAAAGAATTTTCAAGGAACTTGATTTAAATAATAATTTAAAATGATGCTCTTGAAGAGTGGATAACAGGGGTGAATTCGCCCATAAAAAAGCTTAACTCTGCTGGATGCCATGGGGCACGCCTTTGATTAGCAGTGCTAGGGAGGCAGAGGCAGACAAAGCTCTTTGTTCTGGGCCAGCTAGAGCTACATAGTGAAACCCTGTCTAAAATTAAAAAAAAAAAAAAAGAAAGAAAGAAAGAAAAAGTAAACCTGCACACAAAACTGTAAGCCCTGTGTTTTTAATTTTATACCTATTTATGGATTTGTGTGTGCATACGTGCACACATGCGTACACACACATCCTTTAAAAATAACAAAATGACACCTAAATGGTGTATTTCTGTACATTTTATGATGACTGCATTTTCAATCAAATACCTAGGTGGGAAGTGATGACTGAATTTCCCCAAGAGAGAAGCTCCATCAGCCTGGTCAGCCTAGCAGGGTCGCTGTATGCCATCGGCGGTTTTGCAATGATTCAACTGGAGTCAAAAGAGTTTTCACCCACTGAAGTCAATGACATATGGAAGTAAGTTTTCCCCGGTCTAATTCTTTGAGCCAAGTATTAAGTCAGCAAACTGATAAGACAGTTTGTGCTAAATAATCCAAACTTTCCCATCATGCAAACTATTTCTCAACACAACAGTAAACTATATCCTTCAAGCCTAACTGAACTTTTGAATATGCCATTTATTGATCAAGTACTGCTTATGATTAAGGAAGGAAATAATCCAGAATGCCTTCTTGGTTTTGTTTTTATTTTTTTTAAAAAATGTTATTTTATGGGTGTTTTTCACCAGACATACATACGTATGTATGTATGTATGTATGTATGTATGTATGTATATATGTATGTATGTATGTCTGGTGTATTTGGAGACCAGAAGAAGGTGCTGGATCCCCTGGAACTGGAGTTACAGGCAACTGCCAGCCACCATGTGGGTGCTGGAAGTCAAACCTGGGTCCTCTGGAAGAGCAGAGTGTGCTTGTAACTGCTGAGCCATCTCTCCAGCCCTAGGCAGGTTTCTTTATTTGTAAAATGAGTTAGGTTAGCTGAGCTTCTCTACCCAGTTCCAGCTTTAAGGGTATAAATGTTCCAGTAACTCGGTAGGGCAGTGACTTATTTTCCTTCGGAGTAGCTCATTTCCTAAGAAAGCACAGCTCTTGAGGCTGGAGAGGTGGCTCAGCACTTAAGAATACTGGCTGCTCTTCCAGAGGACCTGCAATCAATTCCCAGAAACCACATGGTGGCTCACAACTGTCTGTAACTCCAGTTTAAGACATACATATAGGCAAAACAGCAATGTACATTAAGATATAATAATTTTAAAAATTATTTAAAAAAGGAAACAGCACTGAAGAAATGTTTAACCTATCCAATTTTTCACGAGTTCACTATATATAATTTATTCTTTCATTTGTTTGATCATTCAGATAGTAGATGCTTGTTTAAAAAGAAAAAAGTGAAAGTAGCTATCTATTTTACCACCCAAACAGCTGCTGGGCAATTCTCCCAAATGTGCAGTGGTTACCCAACTGAACTATTTTAGTCAAAGAATGTCTTTTAAAGGGCAGGGCCACTTTCACCACAGTGTCAGATACAGTAAATATCAAATGGAACTTAAGTTCCATTTGGAAACCATAGTCTTGTGCAGGGCATCTAGTGAGTGACAGGCCATCAGGGTACTACTCTACAATTGCTGAAGCCAGCGCAGGCACTGTGCTTGATATCTGACTTACAGGAGGGAGCTCCTGGGTGTCTAAGGAGAGTCTAAGTGAATCCAGGCTCCACACACTCCTAGAAACAGCCATACTCAGGCTCTCCAATCAGCTTCAGGGACCGCCCTACTTCCAAGGCTGGAGGCCTTTAAGTAGTCTCCTCTTAGACAGTGTCCTGCTCCCCAGAGTATGGCTTGTAGACCATCAACAGCATTGTCATCCCTTGAATGAATCAGAAGTGGCATGTTAGAGAGACTCCTAGCTGATTTGTTGGCACACATGTGTTTATGACCAATCAGATAGTGAAGGTGGAACACTATACTTGAGACTCAAAAGTGGGTATCGTTTGTTCTAGACCCAAATCAGCAGTTGTTTTATTCCTTGGTGAGAGCTGCAGGGTAGAAAGGTTAATAGATTTGCCGGTTACTCTTCTGTGCCTTGGGAAATTCCTTATGGGAAGACAATTCAAGACAATTCAAGGCAGGGCACCGGGACATCTTAGCTCTATAATTCAATTATATATGTATAAAGCTTTTTTTTTTTAATCCTTCCCTTATGTTTCGGTAACTAGTTGTGTTGAGGAAAATGATGACTATAAAACACAGTTCATTACAATCTCCATTCCCCTTAGAAGAGGAAAAAACAAACAAACAAACAAACAAAAAACCTGGAGATTTACAAGAATCAAGGAGGCTAGAATTGCAGTGATCCCCAACCCTGACCGTACAGCAATCCCCTGTAACACTTCTAAAATGTACCAGAGCCAGGCCTGAACACAGATTATGCCCAGATTCTGGAGCTAGGACTGAAAGTCATTGTTTGCTGAAACCTCAAGTGATCTGATTTGCAGACGAGTTGAGAAACACTGGTGGGGAGAAACTGTGCCATCGACAGTCACACAAGCCACTAGGTTCTGATGCAGTCTAAAGCCATCCTGCCCCAGCAAGAGGAAGTAATGGGCAGCAAAGGGAAGAGAGTGCAGCCATTCCTTTCTATGAGAACTTCAAAGAGGGGCCCTCTGCCTGTGATTCAGCTCTGTCTGTGCAGTGGTATTACTACAGAGCTTCCAGAGGCATGAGGGTCTCTCTCCCACCCCTGCTGAAGGTGATTTAATGGTCCAGGATGTGGTCTGGGCTCCAGAATTTGACAGATCCCTAAAATGAATATAGAAGAGCTTGAAAAACACTGGATTGGGGGGGGGGGGTTGGATGGGGGCACCCATCACTGTCCTGCTTAGCAATAGAAATGTAAATTTTAATGATTGTGTTGTTTTCTAACTTGGGGAAATGTCTAGAGTGGTAATCCTCAAGTTCTTTGTTTTATTTTGTTTTTTAAGATTTATTGATTTATTATGTATACAGTGTTCTTTCTGGATGTATGCCTGCAGGCCCCAGAAGAGGACACCAGGTCTCATTGTGGATGGTTGTGAGCCACCAATGTAGTTGCTGGGAATTGAAATCAGAACCTCTAGAAGAACAGCCAGTGGAATTAATCACTGAGCCATCTCTCTAGCCCCAGTCCTCAAGTTTTGTTGTAGTACTTTCTGAGTTTTCACAAGTCAGACCAACTCGGTCTCTGGGGAGGGACCCAACAGGAGTGTTTTTTAGCATCTCCAGGTGGTCCCATTGTGTAGTCAAACTTGAGAACTCAGGATTACTGTAGAAGTACTCAGAGTAATATCAACAACACCTGGGTTTGCTAGACATACAGACGCTCAGAGTTGGAGAGATGGCTCACAGGTTAAAAGAACAGGCTGTTCTTCCAGAGGACCAAGCTTGATTCCCAACACCCACATGGCTGTAACTCTAGTCCCAGGAGATCCAACTCCCTTATCTGGCCTCCACAGGCACTGCACACACATAATACATGGACATACATACAGAAAAAAACACCTATATACATAAAATAACAATAAAGGTGGTGGCACAGCCCTTGGGAGGCAGAGGCAGGCAGATCTCAATGAGTTCAAGGCCACCTGAACTACATAGAGAGATCCAGTACGAGGACTGTTACACAGAGAAACCCTGACTTGGAAAAAAAGAATGCACTGACCTTTGGGCAGTGGGAGGCAACAATTCTAACAAGCCCTCTCTGAGTGATTTGCAAGTGTTCTCTGTAAATTGAGTGCTATTGTCCTAGAGACAGGTGGCTGTTCACTTGTCCACTGCCTCCTCATGAACCACATGTAAAGGGACAAAACAAAAACAAACCTCAGCACTGCACACTCTAAACCTATCAACCCTTCTATTGTTGTGTGCAAAATACATTTCCATTGTATTCTGAGATGGGATCTCATCCTATAGCTCAGTCTGGCCTCAAACTCATTATGTACAACCCAGGATGCCCTCAAATTCCAGTGAGATGTCAAGCACACATTTAAGGCAATGTATATTGCATCTCTGTAACCTTGATTGCTCGCACATGAGGACCACAGAGTTCTTGGTCAGAGGCAAGGGCACAGTCTACTAGCTGTCCACGGACAACAGAGGGCAAGGGGTCAGCACTGTGTCAGGTGCCACCTGAGTCCCCAGTAGGTGGGAGCTACTGAAATCACAATCCACCTAAGTCCTGCCTCTTTAAGTTCTCCCCCATAAGAGTTTGCTTCTTGACTCTTCCCCAGCAATCCTCACCAGTCCCACAGTGGATGATGAGCTGCTCAGCTGTCCATTACTTTTTCTGCACAGTCTGATTCCAATGCAATGGCCACGGTCTAGGTATATGCTCGTTCACACTGTGTACGCTTTGAAATGAGTTCAACTGATACTTCTCAGGCAAGGTACCTTGTCTGGCAGGAAGCAGTGTGTTTTTACCCCCCCCCCACCCCATTTTTATACTGAACACAAAGAAACTTACAAAGTGTTCTCATTAACAGCTGCTTATTGATTTTTTGTTTTTTCTTCCATCAGGTATGAAGATGATAAAAAAGAATGGGCTGGGATGTTGAAGGAAATACGTTATGCTTCGGGAGCTAGTTGCCTAGCAACACGCTTAAATCTGTTCAAACTGTCTAAACTATAAACAAGATGACAAAAAAACAATAGTTTGAGAGGTGGCTTGTTGGGACAAGAGGGCTATAATTTATTGTCTGTCTTTAAGCCTGTACAATGATTCATGCAGGGTTACAATGACTCATGTAGGGTCTCTATGAGGTGAACAGTGTGGCCGAATCTCAAAGTCACTGCTTTTTCCAGTGCCAAGTATAAAACCATTTGCTAAGAACTTTAGTATTCAATTAAACAATGTACTTTTGTTAAACTTTACTCAAAGAAGTGAGCTTTCTAAATCTGACCTGTTTACTAAACCTTTGTATTCTTAAGGTACATTTACACTTGTTTTCTATTATCAGTGAAATGCATATGTCTACATTCTAAAATGTTTGAATAACAGAAACCTTCCCTCATGTTTTGAGCTATACAGGAGTCTTGTGCATTATTATGAAGATGACTGGAAATGCTGTTTAAGAAGTATAATAAATGAGTCTCGTCTGAAGGGCAAAGTGTCTAGTCAAATCTAAATGGCCTCCCCCTTCCCCACCTTTAAAAACTTGTAATTATGTGTGTGGGTGTTTTGCCTGTGTGTATGTCTGGTGCATACATGCAGGCAAAACATGCATGGTGACACATGCATGTCCGGTGCCCAAGGAGACCAGAAGGCATCCGATCCCCGGGGACTGCAGTTAGAGATGACTGTGAGCTGCCATGTGGGTGCTGGGAACCAATTCCAGGTCCTCTGGAAGGGCAGCCAGTGCTCGCAACTGCCGAGCCGTCTCTCCAGTCCCTTTCTTCTTTTTGTGACACTGGCATATTATTTCCAAATCAAAGTGTGATATTTTTGTGTTTATCTGTATGTAATATGTGCATGCTTGCATGTGCCACAGTGCATGTGTGGAGGTCTGAGAGCAAGCTCAAGTGTCAATCTTCACTTTCCACCTTAGTAGAGATATGGTCTCTTTGCTGCTTCTCCATTGTGAACTACAGGCTAGCTTGTCTGCTAGCTTCTATGTACACTCCTGTCTTCCTGCAGGAACACTCATGCTACATGCCAATCTTTTTTGTTTTGGGGGATTCTGGGATTTGAACTCTAGTTCTCAGTTTCTGAAGCAAGCCTGTTTATCTGCTGATCTATCTCTCAAGTCCCAAATATAAAACGCTTAAATTTAAAACCCAATAAATCATAGCCTTAACAACATTAACCACAGCAGCTATAATGGGAGTGATCTTTAAACTTCTGGGGCAGAAGATGATGTGAAAGAGGGTAGCCAGTCACTGACTCAGTTTTTTTAGCTTTATATTCCACAAAAGGGCTGCTTATTTGCTAAATTTCCATAGTGTAAGAGTGACGACTGAACCAGGCATGGGGGCACATGTCTGAAACCCCGGCTTTCAGAGGCTGGCTGCTGGAACACACAAGTGTGAGCCCAGCTTGGGAAACACAGTGAGACTCCATCGGGAGGGTCCTGAAGCTCTACACCCACTGTTTTTCTTGGTGTGTAGACAAGACTCCTTGGTCTACTATAATCAGATTTAACCATGTAAGTTATGAACTGTCACCTGGATGCTACCACACATCTGGGCATGTGTGCATCATCACAGGCCTCCTTTGCTGGCTCTTCTTTCTGGTCTCTTCATGCTAGAGTCTCTGAGGGGACAGACAGTCCCACATCTTCCCTGCATTCACACTCTTCCCCAATAGCAACTTAAAGTGATTTCTTGTCGTCACATGGTGTTAAATACCAATGACAACTCTCACATCTTTCTGTGGCCTCCAAACTCACTGAGTGGACATCTCCACTTTAATTCTGGAAAAGTATCTTAAACTCAACACGTCTGAACAAATTCAGGATTGTGCTAACAGTAGCCCACCTCCCACCTTACTCTTCCCATAGACCCCCACCTCGGTGAAAGGAATGGATTTGTGTCACACCCTCACCTAAGACTCAGAATGTCCCGGATGAGGGGTTGGAAAGACTCCAAGAGTCAGGATCTTCTGGAGTAACAGGCACTTGCACTCATAAACTCTGAATAGCTATAGTTGCCCACACAAGACCTGCACAGGATCAAGCTGCTCAAGATTCAAGCATGGATTGGGGGGGGGGGGAGCTCACAAGGCTTACTTCTGGTTTAGAAGCCACAGCAGTTGCAGGGGAGCAAGTCAGCTTTCTTTGGGGCCAGGCCATGCTACAGAGGACAGTCCTCTACCCATGTGCATGCAGCAACACTGAATGGACTCACTAGGTTACACATACAAACACTCAGAGAAAGAAGGAGGAACACAAAGTTAGAACAGGGGTGCCAGAGAGGGTCACAGGAGGAGCTGGGAGGGGAGTAAAAGGTAGATTTAGATTTGATCAAAAGAAAATACATTCATACATGAAGGAAAGAAGAAAACTTAAAATTGTGCACTATGAAATTCCTTTTGGGGAGGGATGGGGTAGGGTGTTTTGAGACAGTCTCACTCTATTGACTAGGCTGGCCTCGAACTCACAGCAGTCCTCCTATCTCACCTCCGGAGTGTTGGGATTAACTCACTTATTAAGAGTTCATATCTGGACATGATGGTACATATCTGTAATCCCAGCACTCAAGAAGCAAAGGCAGGAGGACTACCACAAGATTAAGACCAGCCAGGACTACTTAAGATAAAAAAAATATTTTAAAAATATAAAATACATGTGTTCTTAGCATTCCTTGCTTAAAACTTTACAGTGGCTTCTCGTCTCATCTGGAAGAGCCATGAGGCCACGTGCTGACTGTCTCCCCTGACCTCTTACTACACTCCCAAACCTCTTCCCACTTGATCTGCTCTAACCACAACTGATCTCCTGTTATTCCCAAACACATCATACATGCTCCGAATGCAGAATATTTGCACTTAGTATTTTTTTAAATGAGTTAGACCACTTACGTAAAGGAAATACACATGTGGTATGCCATAGCCATTTTAATGAAAACTCAATCATGATTTGCCTGCTCCAAATATATGTTCTCTCAGGTAGTCCATCCTGGCATCCTCTGTTGACAGTGCCATAGAGTTCCACTCAAAGTAAGGGACCTGCAAAGTAAGTAATTCATTTGAATAAAAGCTTTAAAGAAACTGCCAGTGTTTTTAATTTGATTTCCCCACCATTAGATGGAGCTTCTTACTGGTTTAGTGAGGGTAAATACAAGCTTTCTAATGATAGCTTCAGAGATTTATAAAATGTTATAAAATATAGAAATTATTTTTTATAACATTTTGCTTTTGTTTTTCAAGACAGGGTTTCTCTGTAGCTATGGAACCTGTCCTAGAGCTCACTCTGTAGACCAGGCTGACCTCAAACACACAGAGATCCACCTGCCTCTCTGCCTCCTGAGTGCTGGGATTAAAGGTGTGCTCGACCACTGCCCAGCAGCATGACATATTTCTTTATTGATTCTTTGGGACTATCACATCATGCACCCCAATCCCACTCACCTCCCAGTCCTTCCATGTCTGCCCCTCACCCTGCAGCTTTCCCCACAAAAGAAACCCCCAAATTAATTAAAAACAAACAAACAAACAAAAAAAGACCACCTTGCTCCTCCATCTTTCCTACCTAACACCTCCTTACTTGTCCTTAGTGGCATTGAGAGCCTTGGTGTCTCATGCAGTATACCCTTTTGTCTGATCAGCCCCACCCACAAATGTTCATTATAATGAATCATTTGGTTGATCCAAGGCCTCTGGCCTCTGGCACACCATCATCACTAGACCCTCACCAAAACTCCTTTCAGATATCCTGATGTTGCCCTGAGTCATGGAGATCCTGTGGTTATTGTTTTGCAGAACCAGTCCCTTCATGCACGCCAGGTCATAAATGGGGTAGAAGTCAGGTGGGCCAACCCAAGGCCCAGAATGTTGACCTGGGTAGTAGCTGAGCTGGCCCATCAGGGGGCACCTGGGGTTGGCCACACACACCCCCCCGCACCCCCCCCCGCTAAGATGAGGGGTGGAGCCAGCTCTCCTGTGCCCAATGCCACTGGGGCCAGCTCTCCCACACCTGTGGTGAGGGGTGGGGCCATCTCTCCCTAGTATGGGGGGAGGCAGCTCTCCCATGAGGGGCAGGGCCAGCTCTTTTTAGTGAAGGGACATATAAACTTTCAAGTGATAGCTTCAGAGACTTACAAAAATGTTATGAAATGTAGAAATTATTTTATAGGTCTCTAAGGTAATGAGCTAAAAGTGTGTATATGATTTGACACCCATTATTTGTAGTTGTTGATTTTTTGTGTGTGTGTGCTAAAAAAATTAAATGTGGGCACAGGGAGACTGCACCATCTCCATACAGAAGCAGGTTCTCCAATGATACCAAATCCAAGAGGCTCTAGATCTGGGCCTTCTCAGCCTCCAGAAATGTTATAAATAAAAGCTTGCTATTGACCCCACCCCTCAAATAGGAAAGAAGCCAGGTGGGGTGGCTCATAGCTGTAATACCAGCACTCCAGAAGCTGAGTCAGGAGTAGTGCCACACATTTAAGGCTAGACTGGCAAAGCCATAGTGAGTTCTAGACCAGCATGTCTACAGCATGTGACCATGTCTCAACTCCACTACGTTTCTCCCACTTTAAAAAAAAATGGAAAAGACTGGGGATAGAGAGATGGCTTAGTGGCTAAGATCACTGGCTACTCTTCCAGAGGACCCAGGTTTGATTCCCTGCACCCATATGGTGGCTCACAACTCTAACTCCAGCCTCTTCTGGCCTCTGAAGGCATCAGGCAGGCATTTGTGTACAGGCATACATCCAGGCAAACATCCATAGACATAAAATAACATTTAAAACAAAACAAAGCAACAAGGAAAAAAACAAAACAAAACAACAACAACAAAAAAACCCCAATAAACCAGCGTGAATGAGTAATTCCTTATTCTCACAGCTAATTTATAAGCAGTGCTTAATCTTGCCTCCTTGGACCCCAAGCATGCATACGGTACACAGACATATAAAAAGAAAGGCAAAACACCACATTAAAAAAAAAAATTTTTAAAATAAAGTTAAAAATTTTAAAGGGGAAGAGAGAAAGCACATCTTTCAGCAGACTTCAGCTGGCAGTGGGCTCTGAGCATTTCTATTGGGCTCTAATTTGCGAAAGCTGTGCGCATTTGCAAATGGGTATGCATATTTGTGCAGGGGATGGTAATAGATATAGGCATGGAGTACACATGCTTATGTCATTTCTTAGGTTGTTAGGCTGCAGTGAGATATTTACCCTTCCCACACCTGTCCCACTGACCACACTCATTGGGGATGGGGACGGGGACAAATGTGACATGGAAGAGCTAGGTCTGGGGTTGGGAACCCGGAGCTCTCTCTTGCTTCCTGGGCAGAGAGCATCCTTATGTGAGTTCGAGGCCAGCTGATTTACAAAGCAAGTTCCAGCTAACAGCTAGGACTGTTAGAGAGAAACCCATCTCAAAAAAACAAACAAACAAAACCCAAAACTTTTTTATATATACCCTTGCTAACTGCTAACAGATATTGAAGAAATCATATAAGGTGATAAAGGATTTAAATGGTACAAGGTAAAGAAAAATTAGCTTAAAAACATTCATTTTATATTGAATACTTATTTGAAATCAAATGAGTTGTTTTTTTGTTTGCTTGTTTTTGAGACAGGGTTTCTCTGTGTTCTCTGTTGAGCTCACAGAGATCTGCCCACCTCTGCCTCCTGAGTGCTGCTGGGATTAAAGGTGTGTGCCCCCACCATCCAGCAGGCTTCAAATGACTTTTTATATAAAGTTCAATAATATATACATGGGCTGGAGACATAGCTCAGCAGTTAAGATCACATACTGCTCATGCAGAGAATCCAAGTTGGGTTCCCAGCACCCACATCAGGAGGCTTTCAAGCTCCTGAGAATTTCAACTACTTCAGCCTCCATCGGCAACCTGCATTCACCCACCCACCCACCCACCCACCCACACAGTTTTAAAAATAAATAAAGCAGCTATATAAACAGCTGGCAGACTTAGGAGCTTTACCAGCAAGGCTGCAGAGCCTGCAGAGGTGGTGGCTGAAGCATAGCCTCTGAACTCTTAAGATGCCATGTGAAGCTTCCGTCCTGCCACCACCTAGAAAACATGCTCTGCCTCACAGCTCCCTTTATCCCCATTCCTATAACATCAACAAAAGGCGTTTCCCCTACATAGCGTACATATGATACACTACCCTTTTCCTTTTAAAACCTGTCCATAATGTCTAACATGCAAAAAATATGCAAATCAATAAAATGACATTATGTTTTGCTTTTTGTTTGTTTGTTTTTATTTTTGAGGCAAAGTCTCACTGTGTATCCCTGGCTGGCCTGGAATGCAATATATAGACCAGGTCTCTCACGGGACCTGCAGCTAGGCTGGTATAGCAACATGCAGCGATCCACCTATCTCGGCCCACACAGCACTGGGATCATAGATGCACCTGGCCCCACTCTCGACCACCATGCCTTTTTAGAGGCTGAAGCACATGACTGTCTCATACCTGAATAACACGATAGCCCAAAATTTCCAAATGCCGTTTTTTCATAGCAGATTTTCCTTTTAAGTGAGGAATGTTTGAACAAAAGGCTCTTACATCCAAAAATTCTAAAGCAATCCTACAAAAATCAAAATGAGAAATTAAGAAACTGGTAATCATAAGCCTTTCAATGAAAAGAATGTATTCACATAAACAAAGGCTACATGACTATAAATCAGTACAATGAGAGGGATTTCTATTTTGTTCATTCTGAGACAGAGTATCAAGTAGCCCAGTGTGGTGGTTTGAATGATTGTCCCCAGTCTCGGATTTGAATGCTTGGTCCCCATTAGGTGGCTCCATTAGGAGAGGTTTGGTGAGGTGTGGCATTGCTGGAGGAAGTATGTCACTAAGTGACAGTGTCCATACCCATCTGCTGCCATGCTTCCCTGCCTTGACGGTGATGGACTCTTATCCCTCTGGAACCATAAGCCCCAAATAAACTCTTCCATATCTAAGGAGCCTTGTGCATGGTGTTTATCACAGCAATAGACGAGTGACTAAGACAGGCTAGTCTTGAACTACTGACTCTCTTGTTTCTGGGACGAAAGGTACACGCTATGCCCAGCTCCAAATTATTTTTCTACGTAAGAAATTAATAACTAAAGTCAACCTTTTCATTTAAAGAAACTATATAGCAAATCATCTCATGAGTTTCTTTGCCCAACGTGCATTATGAGATAGATTCTTCGATGAAGAATTTACCCATAAAGTGGAAGCAACATGCTGTGGTCTAACCAGATGTGTGAGAACAGCAGCAATGCAGGAGAGGCTAAGTGCTCTTCCAAGTAGAAAAGCATGGGACACAAGAAGAAAACACTGCACTCCTGGCTAAGGAAAACTAGGTCATCACTTGGTTGAACAGACTGCTGGCCTGTGGACAGCTGAAGGAAAGTCACAGTTAGAAGGCACTGGATAGGCAAAAGTATAGGGACAAATGGTATGGAATGTTTAGTAGCAGGTGCTATAATCAACCCTTAATAAAAGAGGCTATAATGAAATGCTGAATGTAATCATTCAAAAAAATACCCTAAAACTAAAACATACCTCTCAGATTCTGGTGGAAGGCTTGACTCAACTTTTGAAGTTTGTGACTCCCAGTATATTCCTGGTGATTTTCCTGGAGTTATGCTACGGCTTTTATAAGGGAGAGGTTTCTTTCGTTTGTCCAAAATGCATTCAAAATCTTATTTAAAAAAAGAATCAATAGTATAAGTTAGGTAAATTCTAGCAGCCAAAAGTTTAAGTATACTTTAAATATTTGCATATATATGTATATATACATAATTTAAAAGCAAAATGAACAATAAGGCTCCCTGATTATCTAATTCATTCTGTAAGGTATTGTCCAATGGTACTTTTCTTTGAAAAAAAAATCAATAAATTCCAAGCAACTATTAATGGACTATACCACATAACTGGCTACACTTAGCACTTACCTAAGTCAAATCATATCAAAGAATTGTGATTTACGTCAGACACAGTGATGCATGCCTGTAATCTCAGCAATTGGGAGGCCGAGGCAGAAGGATGACAAGTTAGGATCAGCTGAGCTACATAGACAGACTGTCTTAAAAAAAAAAAAAAAAAAAAAAAAAAAAGTTTTATTGTTTCCTGGCCACCTTTGGAGGATGTTAAGACACCACTTGAAAACAAGGACAAGCCTTCTTATCTTATACTGCATGTACGGGGACTAAATTGACACAGAAATGTTTTTTGGAGACAAAATGGAGCAATCAGTGTAGAAGGAATGGAACATGCAGAAACTTGCTATTCTGGCCTCCCTTATGGATGCTAGATTTAGGCAAGCATTTGGCCATGGCTACTAAAATCAGTAGGGCAAACCCTCATGAGGGACTGTCTCACAGATGAACCACCCTGAAGAGCATTACAAACCCACTGACAATGATGACTTTTGATACAATGCAATAAGAAATAGCTACTTGTCAGACAGTCTGGCCAGAGACAAATAAAAGCTAGAATCCAATTAGGCATCTACCTCTAACTGTTGGTTTACCAGAAAGGGAAGAGCAACATGAATATGTTAAATGATGTCAAAGGGGTTCAATCAGAAGAGTTTAGATGATGAAACGTTTTCCAATAAATTATGAGAGGAAAAAGGGAAAAAAACAAACAAAGACAAATTAACCAAATGCAATGTTTGGATCAATCGTGAACAAATAAATAAAAAAATATAAGAAACAATCATGAAGGCTATATAATATTAAATTTAAATTGTTCTACCTTTTCATTTCTGAGATGAGCTCGCTATATTGCTTAGTTGGTTAAGAATCCCAAGGCTCAGGATGTATCCCTGGTGCACAAAAGGACTTTGCAAACATATCCCCCATGGAGGGATAACTGCCTTATTCTAGAGATAGGAGAGAAGCCTTAGTCCCTACTTCACAGGACCTGTCAGATCTACATGACCCCAACTGGATGGCATTCCCCTACATATTGTATTGTGGTGGGGGGTTGGGAGGGGAGGGTGTTTAGAGTGCATGGGAGAGGGTAGAGAGGGCAAAAGGGAGGGAAGGAGGGAGGGAGGGCTTGGGGGGAGGGAGGGAGGGAGGGAGAGGGAACTGGGATCGACATGTAAAATAATAATAAAAAAAAAAAAAAAAACGCTTTGACTCCAAAATTTAAGTTGAAGAACAAGTTACTGGGGAAAAGTATTTCTATTTTTGTTTCCACAGAAAATGAAAAGATGTGGATTCCTTCCAGACTAATGTGGTTTGATCACACCAGACCGCCTGAAACAGAGTACAAGCTGATCCTACATTCCAAACAGCTGGACAAAACAGCCCTACAGACTACAGCTAGGATATCTGAATCTTCTTCGAATCCCCCAAGACAGCGCCCCTTACCAGCAGGAAGTAGTTTGGAAAGAACGACGCCCAAATTCCCAAATATTGTGTATAAATGTTTGTTTTCATTTAATTGGACTTTGTTATATAAAATTAAATAAAAAATACTCTATATGCATAAAAAAAAAAAAAAGAATCCCAAGGCTCAAGTCATCCTTCTGCCTCAGCTTCTTCCATAACTGGACTATCAGTATATGCCACAGCTCCCAGCTTTGTTGTATATGGTGGCTGAATAAATGTTCCCCATATTCTCAGGCATTTGAATACATGGTCCCCAGTTGCACTATGTGAGGAGGCTTATGAGGTGTGGCCCTCATAAGGAGTGAGTGCATCCCTGGAGGGCAGGCTCAGAGGTTTCAGAACCGCCTACCATCCTCCATGGACTCTGCATCAGTTCCTGCCTTGACTTCCTGCCCTGACTTCCCTGGATGACAGGTAACAAGCTGTGAGATGAAACAAATCTTTTTATCCCCAAGTTGCTTTTAGTCATAGTGTTTCTTATAGCAATAGAAAGCAAAGTAGGACAGATGATCTCACCCATAATTTATATAATGGAACTTTAATAACCAATATGATGGGATTAGGAGAAGAGCATTTGGGAGGTGATTAATTCATGTGGGCAGAGTCCTTATTACCATGTAAGATGCAGCATCCTCTCCAAACAGGAAAACTAGGGAAGTGGGGTACAGCAGGATAAGAGCAGCAAAGGCCTACACTTTTCCCATGTTTTGGTTTTCTTCCTTCCTTCCTTCCTTCCTCCCTTCCTTCCTCCCTCCCTTCCTTCCTTCCTTCCTTTCTTTCTTTCCTTCTTTTTGGGATACGGTCTTATTCTGCTGCCCAGGTGTCACTTAAACCTCCAGAGAAGCTGGGATTATAGGCATGTGCCATCATGTCCAGGGAGGGTAGAATCTTGGTTTGTTGTTGTTATTGCTTATTTTGGTTTTGTTTGGTTTTTGGTTTTTTAAGACAGAGTTTCTCTGTGTAGTTCTGGCTGTCCTAGAATGCAATGTCTACTTTTGTCTGTTTGAAAATTTTCATAATAAAAACTTGAAGAGAAATTATAAGTAAGCCCGGGGCTTGAGAGATAGCTCAGTGGTGAAGCACACTAAAGGCCGCTGCAGAGGGCCTGGGTTGGGTTTCCCACGCCCATCAGTAACTCCTGGCTCCCTCTTCAGGCCTATGTCAGAATCAAGGCTACACTTAGTGTAATGTACAATGTGTGTAATACTTACACGTGTAAAATAAAAATAAATAAGTCTTTACAACGATTGCAAACCTTTCCAAAGTTCCTGCTAATCAGACAACTAGTCAAGTGAGTTTGGTCAAAAAGAGCTGGTCATTTCCAGTGACTTACCCACGATGTGGTAATATGGAGAAAGCGCAGAAGGCTTTACACATCTCAGTCCTCCAAGGACTTCTGCTAACATTCTATAGATCCGCTGTTGTGCTCCATTCATCACACCAATATCTTTAGAAAAATTAAGAAAATTTAAAAGCCATCCTAAGTCTATGAAATGAAAAGTAAGGATTTTTACCAACATCTTCAGGGTTGGCCAGGTGGCTCAGCAGTTTTGTAAATGGGCTTGCCTCCCAGGTCTAAGGAACTGAGTGTGATCCTCAGAGCCCAGATAAAGCAGGGAGAAGAGAACAAACTCCAGAAAGTTGTCCTCCGACCTCCACACTCATGTGAACAGACGTTTCTCTCCCACCCAAATAAGCAGTCAGAGGCTTAATATTCTAAGTACTTGGCCGATAGCTTAGCTTCTTCTAACTCTTACATTTAAATTAACCCGTATTTCTTTGCCACGTGGTTCCTTTTCTCAGTACAGCATTTTCATCTTGTTTCTTTGTGTTTGCCACAATGCCTGCCCTCTTCCCAGAATTCTCCTAGCCTGGCTCTCTTGCTCAATCTCTGCCTGCCCAGCTATCGGCCAATCAGCTTTTTATTAGCAGTGAGAGTAATACATATTCATAGTGGACAAAAAGATTGTTCCACAGCATTTGCCCCTTTTGTCTAAATAAAAAAGTGGAAGAGGCAAGAGGTCACAGGCGGCTGCTTTTCCGATCTTTCAGGTTTTTACCCCATCTGACTCCTGATTTTTATTGATAAAGATTAATTAGATTAACGCTTCACACACAACCTGTGTGTGCAACCGCAGGCACTCACAGGAAGTAAATAAGTACAGTAAAGCCTAATGTAGAATAACACTAAACTCAATGGGAGACTAGGGCCTGCTCTCAAGTGACCAATATCATAGTTGAGAAATTCCTGTAAAGTGAATCCCACCGACAAAAGTATTTAACAAGCCATAAACCCTCCTAATGGCGATAATAACAATGTACTATCTAATAATCTGTTCTGTAAGCAACTATACTCTCTTATCAAAAGGAAACAAACCTTTGTTATACTGCCCTTGACAAAAGCGATCATGAAACCATGGGATCTGAACTTCGGGGCATTCCAAGCAGACTGCTCTGTTTAACTCCATAAGGCGTAACTGGACCCTTGCACTTAGAGTTGAAGGTAAAACTGAAATTAAAAACAAATTACTAATGGATTTGAATAGCCCAGACCTGGCAGAAACTTCATTTCTTCATATCATGGCTCCCACTGTTGGTTGATACTGTAACTCTGACATGAGAAAGTCACTTCATCTGCGAATGCTTCATACATTTGGTAACTTGATTAAGACTGATTCTGTCAGGAGGCAGAAGCAAGTGGATTTCGCACAGTTTGAGGCCAGCCTGGTCTACAGTGAGTTCCAGGACAGTCTTGACTGTTATACAGAGAAACCCTGTCTCAAAAAACAAAACGAAACAAACAAAAAAGACTGATTTCTACACTTTCTGAATTTTAAAGCTACATTTTTTAAAATGCTACTTCCTTCCATATTTTAGAATTTATCCTAAGGAAACGATCCATGGTCATATGTAACATTCACATTTGCAATGAATTGAAAATAACCTATAAAATAAGAAAGGAGTCCCAGGATATAACTAAAGTGGCATGCCTACAGTGCACACACAAAGTCCCAGATTCAATCCACAGCACTGCCTTTCTTAAAAAGGGGTTCCTGGTTTCAGATAATAGAAGTTTTATTGTAGCTACATAATGGTATGTCATGAGTCCAGTAAAAATATGCCATCAAAAATATTTCATGACATGGAAAGTTGTTCAGAATATAGTTCAATGAAAACAGCATCATAAAAAGCAATTTAGGATCCCCATCCATTTAAAAGCATACCTTGAAACATAAGTATTTATATGAGACCAAAAGACACAAAAGAAATAGGTCAAGCACTTGGGGCGCAGCCTAGCGGTGGAGTGCATGGTCAGCATGCTAGATGCCCCAGCTCAGTCCTCTCCAAACAAAAGAGGGAAAGCACCACCCGGTAAAGGTGATTTTACTTGGTGGGAGAATTAGGGACAGTATCTAACTTTAATGTTGTTTTATGTGCTTTCCAAAGTTTCCATAATATTCATATTTTTTTATGATGGGATCTCAGTACAAGGCCCCGGGTGGCTTGGTCAGCTTCAAACTTTCAACCATCCTCTCGCCTCAGTCCCTCAAATGCTGAAGCCATGGGTGAAATGTGTGTGTGTGTGTGTGTGTGTGTGCGCGTGCGCGCGTGTGTGTATTACAGACCTATTATATATTATACATATTTACAAGTATATTCACATATATATGTATACATACAAGCCTACCCTCCTAATCCCGGAGATGAAACCCAGGGCTTAACAAATGCTAAGCAAGCATTCTACCATTAAACTACCCCCCAGTCAATCATAAAATGCTTTTATTAACAGGAAATAATGTTATTAGCCTTTAAATGCTTCAGTATGGACACAAATGACACTTGCATATAAAGTACATTTAATAAATTCCAAAAGTAAAATACAGATACTTACTTTCAAGCTGAGAATCTAATCTGGCTAAGAACTCAATGTTAAACATTTTCTTTAGCAGTTCTTCTGGAAAATATTCAAGTGTGGCCAAAGAAAAACCAAGAAACACTAATGTAACAGGGTCCAGTGTACCTAAAAAATAAGTTTAAAAATTATAACATAGAGCTGTTTCACATAAACATATAGAGAAGCTGTTCAGATAAAGCTAAGGCTTTTTTTAATGATAAAAAATAAAGGGGTTAAAGAGAGATGGCTCAGTACTTAAGAGCAGTGGCTGCTCTTCTATAACACCTGGATTCAATTTCCAGTACCCACATGGCAGCTCACAATTGCCTGTAACTCCAGTTCTAGGGGGCCCGACACCCTCACACACACATAGATGCAGGCAAAACACCAATGTATATAAAATAAAAATAAATTATTTTTAAAAAGAAAATAAATCATATCAACACAGCACTCACAAAATTTATATGATTACATTTCAACAGTAAATCTGAAGCAGGGAGAGAGTAAGAAAGATGGACAAGAGAAAAGTACTATTAACCCAGCATGGTGGCATATACCATTAATCCCAGCATTCAGGAGGCAGAGCCAAGTGGCTTTCTGTTTTGAGGCTAACTTGGTTATAATATTGAGTTCCAGACCAGTCAGGGCTACCCCGTGAGACCATTTCTCAAAACATAAAGCATACCAGGCAGTGGTGGCGCACGCCTTTAATCCCAGCACTCTGGAGGCAGAGGCAGGCAGATCTCTGTGAGTTCGAGGCCAGCCTGGACTGCAGAGTGAGTTCCAGGACAGCCAGAGCTACACACAGAGAAACTCTGTCTATAAAAAAAATAAATAAAATTTAAAAAGCAAAATAAAATACTATAGGGTATGTGGGGGGGATACTGTGGCAATACTGTGTTTCTTGGTATCTCAATACCTTTCCTTGGCAATTCAATTTGTGTACTCGTATACTGAGAATGTTATGTTTATTATACTGTAAAGGTTTTGAAAATTGCCTTGAAAAGAAAAAGAATTCAACACACAGGGACAATGATCTGTAAGAGGAATCTCGGTCTCTGGCCATAAAAATAGAGTTTCTCAGAATGAACTGAGGAAAATTATCACTCCATTTATTTATTTATTACAGTACCAGAATTGAACCTGGGCCTCATCCATGCTGGGCAACTGGTTTTCCATTCTTTTATTTATTTTTGATTTATTTTGATTTTGCCAATTAATTTTGAGACAGTTTACCACTACATTTCCCAGGCTAGTCTTGAACTCATTCTGTAGTTCCAGCAGGCCCTGAACTTGCCATCCTCCTGCTTCTGCCTCCAGGATAGCTGCCATTCACTTTGGTACCACCAGGTCCAGCTCTGTTAACTACTTTACATTTTTCTTAAAAGACAGACTCTCTAAGAATTTTCAAATTTATTGGGAAAAAAAGCAAAACAAAACAAAAAAACACAAAAACCAAGTCCTTTTCAGTCTTCTCTTATAACTAAAAAAAAAAAAAAAAAAAAAAAAGATCTAGCCAAAAGATGCTGAGATTCCAGCACTCTGGAGGCAGGAGAAGGCAGATCTCTGAGTTCAAGGTCAGCCTGGTCTACAGAGAGAGTTTCAGGACAGCCAAAGCTACACAGAGTAACCCTGGCTCAAAAAAAAAAAAAAAAAAACAGAACAAAACAAACAAAACCCAATTTCTAAGTCTCTATATGAGACCATGAGGAAAAGGTTAAATTTCAGTTCTCTCTGGCTGTTGACTTATAATTAAGACAGCACATCAAACCTCAGCTTTAGGCCTCATCTTTCCACATACAGTTTTACTACTAGTAAAGAGCACTGCATTTGCCATGCGTGCATACATCATGCATTCACACCACAGCCCTCTTTTACTTGTTTGTTAATGGACACAGGATCGTAAGGCATCATTAGATACTCTCTGGCTGATACATCCTACAAAATACAGGAAAACCCATTAGCAAAGAGCTTCCAGATCTACATAAATACACCCAGCATGGACCCTAGCATCTTGCATGGGATGTGAAGCTCCCACTGAGCACCTGCTGTTTGGCTGATGACTTATCCACTGGGCACAGCTATAAGACTAGGTCCTGGCTGTCTTTCCAGCAACCTCCCTATCCCCACTGCTGACACAGGACCTGCTATTACTGAACAAAGCACACATGCTCTCTCCACAGGTCCTCTTCCATTCTCTCATGCTGGGGCTCTCTTCCATATTCACTGGCCACGTCATTTCCTCACTGCATTTAATCCATGGTTGAAAATCATCTCAGAGAAGAGCTCCTGAATCATCAGCACTCTTGCCAGCCCAATTCAGCCCACTCCACTATGCTCCCTCCATCCTACACACCTGCAATAATGCTTGAGTACTTCATCTTATAGATGTGTACATTGCGTATGTCAGTGCCCCCTCATACAGCACAGTAGTATATTTATATTCTCCAGTGCCTGGGACAGTACCTGACAAGCAGTAAGTGCATAGCGACTGCTGACTACAAAGACAGAGCTATGAGCCAGACAGATCAGTTCTAAAACTGCCAAGTCATATGAACAACTAGGGTGGGTCTGAGAATTCTTGAAGTTCAGTCTATCCCAAACGTAATTAGGACCCCAAAAACAAAGAGAAGGAAAAAGGAAACTCCCAACCTCTGCTATCTGCTTCCAAAAGTACATAGATAATCCTAAGAGCACTGGGAAACACAGACATTTGCATTACAATTCATTACAACAGCAAAATTAGTTACAAGGTGGCAACAAAATAATTTTACGGTCAGGGTCACCACAACAGGAAGATCTGTATTAAAGGGTCAAAGCATTAAGAAGGCTGGGAACCACTGTGCCAGACCCCAGTTTGACTCCAGCACCCACACAGCACCTTACAGCTACCTGTTAACATCAGTTCCAGAGGATGAAATGTCCTCTTCTGGTTTCCATGGGCACCAGACATATTAGTGCTGCACAGACACAAATGTAGGCAAAACACGCATACACATAAAAATTTAAAACCATTAAAACTGGATTCAAACCACAACAAGATACTTTTGCAGACAATGAGTGATACAGCCACCACTAGCACACACACAGAGGAGACAGAAGAGCACGCTAAGACAAGCAGCCAGTCTGAAATGTGACACATCTTCAATAATACAGCCAATCTCCATTATTCAAACAAACAAACAAACAAACAAACAAAAAATCAGGAAAAATAGGAAGGAGGTGACAAAAGTAAACAAAGCTCATTTCTTGAATAAGTTAGAAGACAATTCAGAACCTTATACTCAAGCGCTAAGGAGGCTGAGCAAAAGGATCAAGGTTTCAAGGCCAGCGTTAGGCAGATGGGTTAAATCCTTATTATACAAGCATGAAGATCTGAGTTCAAATCTCAAGAATCCATGTAAAAAGTTGGCCCGGCTGAATGCACCTGTAACCCTATGCTGGGGGAGAAGACAGAAGGATCCCAGCAGCTCGCCCAGCCCACCAACCTAGCCCCATCCGTGAACTCTAGGTTTGGTTCTGACCATGCCTCAAAAAATGAGGTAGATGTCTCATGGGTAAAGAGCTCACCGGGCAAATTTTAGAACCTGGGTTCGGATCCTCAGAACCTACGTAAAGCTGGGGAAATGGAAGGCAGAACAACAGCATGCTGGGAAGCTCATGGTCAACTAGGTAGGAGGCACAGTAACAAACAAAACACACGCACAAGGGGAAACAAGAGCACCTGGAAGTCACCCGAGATTGTCTTCTGCCACTCACACACGAGAACATGTACGTGTACACATACACACACACACACACACACACACATTGTGCATGTGCACATGCACATATAACCTCCCTGTATAGGAAGCAAAAATATCGGTAACAAATGGGAAAATTTGATAATGGTCAAAGTAGTAGATGGCACTGGTTGCCCATTATCCTGGTTATACTGCTGGCATAGTGGTTCGGAGGAGAATGTCCCCTGTCCCTGAAGCAGATGGAGTGCATAATTCAAAGGTTCATCGTATGCAGGAGAGTGCTAGAGGTCAAGCTAGACTGGGGGTATACTACATACGTCTGTTCCTCCAATTTTAATGAACTTCTGAACCCTTGGTAATAAAGAGGGAACCCTTTAATGAACCCTTGGTAATAAAGAGGGAAAAATCAAAAGCTTCTCCCCAGAGGACAACACTATGTTAAAAGTGTATGGGGTGGGTGGTACTCTAGACTATGAGAGATGAAACAGAAGACCACCCAAAGCAACAAGTAAATATTAGAGTAGTTATTTGGGGGTACAATTAGGAAGACTTTAAATACAGAGCTCTGTTAGGTATTCAGGGACCATTGCAGTTACTTAGTGTGCTAACAGTGTGTGCTGATACAAGAGTTTCACCCTTCCAGGCAGGTGTATGCTCCAGTAATACAGCACAGTATGCTTTGCTATTGCTGGGGGCGGGGGTGGGGAGGGAAAGGGGCAGGGAGCAAGCAAGAGATAAAGCAAGTTTGACGAAATAGCAGCATTACCACGTCCACACATAGGCTATATTGGTGTTCCTTGTTCAGTTCTTACATGTTTCTCATCTTCATACTAAAAAGATTCAGAGAACTGGGTACTTCTCTTCAGACAGGTTCTTTCAAGACACAATAGGTAGGGAGATAGGTGGATGGATGGATGGATGAACAGACAGGCTGGGAAGCAGACAGATGCCCATTAACTCCCCTCTGTAGCCCAAGCTGGTCTCAAAGAAGCAACCTTTCAGCTTCACCAAGGGCAGACATTATAAAAATACACAATCACACCCAGCTTCAAACATTTGTAGTATAGAATTGCCAACTATTATGAATACCCAATTATTGAAAGCCATCGTAACAGCTCTTAGCTCATATTTACAAGAAACCACTCATTCATTATATTGCCAAGCATTTTACCTACCTACATAAGAATTAAGGCACTGGACACAGGCTCCAAAAAACTCATCCCTTTGAGGTGGATCATAGTTCAAAATGCTGAATGGAAGGATAATAGCAAGGATTGAAAAGGGATGGATCTGTATTAAAAAAACAAAACTTTAGTATAGGCTTCAGCAAAATTAATTTTAATCTACCATTTGAGATAAAGTCTTTCTAACATGCCTATAATGAAATTACAAATGTATCACTCATTAACTTTTGCATCCTGCAGTGACTCAGGTCGATCAGACTTGCATTGCTGGGAGGCAAGTGCATTTACTTGCTAAGCCATCTTGCCAGGCCTGTAATTGTTTAATATTGATATCCCAGGGTTATAGGGGGAAAAAGAAAATTGAAAATCAGTTATTCACCACCATGTAAATATACCTAACATTGTAAATATTGCCTTCCAATTAAAAAGTTCTGACTTCTGATCTTAGCTGGGCATAGCGGAGCATGCTTGAATCCCAGCACTTGGAAGGTAGAGGCAGGAGAATTTCTGTGAATTTGAGACCAGTATGGTGAGCTACATAGTGAGACCCTGTCTCAAAAAAATGAAACAAAACAGAAACACTCTGACTTCTGATCTTAAGGACTGAAGGAATCAAAGGATGTGACCACTAATCTCCAGGTCCATGGTGGCAGGAACAAGGTGGCCGTTCTCCTGTTTGAGACAAGGTTTATCTGTGTGCCCACAGTGACCTTAAACTCCTGGCAGTCGTCTTGTCTCAGCCTCCCAAATGCTGGGATTGTAAGTGTGCCATCACACCCTGCCCCAAAGTAGTTCTAAAGTGAAAAGGCACAAACCGGTGAGCCAGAAGCCACAGTTGAGTTTTCAAACTTCACACTCGTATCTAAGTTTGGAAAATATTTATAACTTATATATGTGCTTCTGGAAGCTGACAGCGGTGTAAAAGTAACGTCTAACATGTAAACATCACCTTATCAATCTGCTGAACAACCACCGAAGCTATCCTATCAAGCAGCAGAGTGCTGAGGTAGTTAGTTTTGGAAAGGAAAGATGCAATCTTCGCAACATTGGTGCAATTGATTTCATCCGCAAAGTGTTGTAAAGCAGCAACTGATTCTTCAACAAATGATTCATGAAGCCACTCTCCTTTCAAAGATTTAAGCTCCTCCCACAGTAGATCCAAGTTGTTGCTTTGTTGTAATCGATGATGGCCCCAATGATCTAATTTTTGAAGGAGACCCAGTTGCTTTCTAGTAGTGCTAGCCAAGCACATGTGATCATTCTGAATCCACCTCATGAGAGATGCTACAACATCACTCAATTCCTTGAAGTCACACTGTGGTAAAACTGCTTCAATCCGGGACACTGCTGCTTCACTGAGGTGAGGAAGAGGAAGCAGAGAGAGAGCAGAGACCAGAATAGAGATCTCACTTGGGGTGACGCTGGCTTCCAAACGACTGTTATGTAAAGGACGGAGAAAACAAACACAATATAATCAACACACACTGGCAGCAACAACAAAAACACATGAAATGTGTGCATTAAAATACTGTTATGAAAGACGAGGTAATCTTAGAAAGTCAGTTCATTTAAGTTTAATTCACAGGGGACAGGTCATTAGGGGTCACTAAGGAAAAGCTGAGGTGCCGTAACCATGCTATACACTTTATGCAAAAACAAAGCCAGCATCAATGGGATTGAAAAGGTCAGCATCAGGCACCATCGCTGCCACCTCCACCACTGCTGCAGAACCTGAGCTCAGTGTCTGCATGGCCATCAGGAGCTGCTGAGACCTTGAATGAGCCCTGGCACAGGGCACTTCTCAAGAATACCAATTCCCTTCTTAATTATGTGTACTGGAAATACTACCTTACCACACTGGCAGGCAGACACATGATCACAAGCAGACAGACAGACACCTGACCTCATTCTCTACTCCCTCTTAACTAAATCTGCACAATAAGTATCCCACCATGAGAACAGTAATTCTTAAACAACGACTGGCCACTTTAAGGCACCTTTAGGTTTAGAAGTGTGGAAGAAATGATTTAATCTACATTACACACAAAACTGAGTTACTGTGATTTTACTATTTGTTGTTTTTGTAGTTCTGAGCTCCTATGTAAAATAAACAAAGAACAAACAGACACACACAAACCTCACTGATTGCTTGAAAAATAAAATAATCACAATATTCCATGCTAGCCAGGGTGCATTGGTCATTTGCTAATCGTAAACTTCACTTTTATTAATACTTCATCTTGGCTCAACCAATCAGTGGAAAACTGAGAACACATCCAGAGAAAATACGGTAATTTTCAGTTATTAATGTAAAGGGGAAAGTGTATATATGGCTGTTTAGCTGTTTGGTGGTACTGGGATCACACAAGGGGCACAAGCTAGTAAAGCACAGTAGGGATAGCACAGACAGATCTTAGAACGCCAACAATAAGCCATTCAGGTTTGTCTAGAAAGTCCCAGCTATTTTATACACTGAAAAGCAAATATGGATAGATTTTGAAATAAAACACTAATTGACTATTTTATTCTTTAAATGTTAAATCTTACCTGAGAATTAACTCTCTGAGTTTCACAAAAAGCTCCTTATCTTGAAAATGTAGATAATTCAGTGCTTGTGTTACCTTCAGTAGCTCTATCGATTTATAGTTACCCAAATGTTTATATAGAATTGAAGCAATTCTAAAAAAATAAAAAATTAAAAAAAATGTATTACAACCAGGTCATTCACTTACATAGTAAACAGTCACTAGATAGACTTCATGCCACATACTCTGCTCTATGTTGTAAAAATGTTTCCTCTTCTGTTCTTACAGAACTGTCTCAAGATATCAGATACATAAATAACTAAAATAAAGTAAGAGCAATCAAGAAGTGTGAATTTGAAAGGAGGAGAAAAGCATACTTTAGGAGCTAGAAGGTCACTCGGAGGTTAAGAGCACTGGCTACTCTTCCAGAGGACCTGGGTTTGGTATCCAGCACCCACATGATGGCTCACAATGATCTGTAATTCCAGTTCCAGGGAATCCAACAACCACTCTGGACTCTGCAAGCACCATGCATGCACATGGTACAAATACATGCAGGTCAACACTCATAAACATATTTTTATTAAAAAGAACACAGCTTTACTTCCCAAATTACAAAAAAAAGAAAAACAGACAGAAGAAAAGCTCACAGAGCAGACATCAAATTCCACATCCTATTGTGAAGGATATTTTTATCATGAGTTATTAGAAATTAGCAACACTAATATCATTTTCTTCCATTATCTTCTGGCCCTTGGGGGATAAGCTAAAAGCAATGAAAGAAAAGAAGGAGGGAAACTTGATGAGAAATGAGACAGAGAAACCTTAACTAAAGGAACATACAATAAACATATGCAATTTGAATGGTTTCTTTTCTTTTCTTCTTAAATCTTACATTACCAATAAGCTACTGGGTGGCATTACAGGCAACAGTGAGACAAGTCCATGTAGAAGCCATGCTCTGGAGACTCATTTTGAAAGTAGAGCCCTGGCTCTGTGCATGCACTATGACACACACACTGTGATGCATGCACTATAATTCACACACTGTGATGCATGCACTATGATGAGTGCACTATGTATGATGCATGCACTGTGATGCATGTACTATGATGCACACACTAAGATGCATGTACTATGGTGCTCTGCTTTGATCTAGCAGCAGCAGGAAAGGAAATGAAAACCTACCAAAAAAAAAAAAAAAAAAAAACCAACTCTGTCTCTATTCTGAAGTCACAAACATTCCAGAACAATGCCTTAAGTGGTCATTCTTATTACTTCAAAACAATCAGACACAAGTATTTCTGTCAGACAAAACAGATACTTATGAGTGACAACTAAACTTAGCACCATGAACTTCAGGAAAAACTACTTTTTAATCAAGTGTGCATTTCTGCTTTCCATATCTCCCATTGCTCCCAACACTGTCAGCACTTGCTGGCTGGTCAGCTCCTCTGACATCAGCAGTATAGTTGATTCAAGCCTAGAAACAAACAAACAAACAAATATATATATATTTTAATGTAGGAAGGCTAGCTTTCAACTTGTTTAAATTAACCATTTGGGGGTAACAGAAAGAAATCTACAGATATCTCTACTACGGAGGTGCTGGAAGCCCTGCTTAAGGAAAACAGCTCACCACACATCTACAGATTGCTAAATTCCTGGGCTGAAGAAATGGCTCAGCAGGTATGCGTGTGTACTACTATTGCAGGAGAGTTTGGTTCCCAGCATCCATTTCAGGTGGAGGTTCACAACCATCTGTAACTCCAACTCTAAGGACTCTAACACTCTACAGCATTTGCACTCTCTCTCACACACACAAACACACACACACGCATGCATGCATACACACCCATATATATATATATTAATTAAACATTTTAGAAAGAATACTATAATTCTAAATATTCTATATACTTAAGCCAAATAGGAGAATCATATGTATTCCTTAATTCTAGCCTCAAAATCTAGAGGAGAAGTGAATGATATCTGTGTATTAATTTAATATTTACTTATCTCTTAGCAATATATAGATGTTTTAAATGGAGTAAGATCTAACCAAAACATCATAAATATTCCTATGTATATCATATCTAACCAAATGCCAGGGCACTGATCTATAATCCAGCTATTTGAGGGGCTGAAACAAAATTGCAAGTGTTCAATGCTTACCTGAGAAACAGTGAGATTGCCTCCAAATAAAAAGTAAATAGATAAAAGAGTGCTTGTCTAATATGTGAAAGACCCTAGGTTCAATTCACAACACAACAAAAGATCCCACTAAATAATCCAAATATTGTATCTATACCAATAGCCTATGAAAACAGAACTTCTTAAAAGAGACATGAACCAGACCAAAACTCACTCAAGCTGAAAGGGCACCTGTTACTGTGCACCTAAGTGTTTGTTTTCAGGAGAGGGGTTGAGATGGGGTCCTGCTTTTGCAGCTCAGGCCAGCCTGGGACTCCCTTGTGTAACCCAGAGTGGCCTTAACTCAAAATATTCCTCCCAAGGCCTGGGATCACAGCCAGCCACCATTATACCTAAAGAAGAGTGTCTTCTTATTTTTAATTACTGCCAAATCTTTTTTTTTGTAAAATCATTTTTAATAACAGAACTATTTGTCTAGAATTTGAATAAATATTTGCAACAGGCATATAACGTTAACATTGTCTTAGTTGGAGTTTCTATTTTGGTGATAAACCACCATGACCAGAAGCAATTTGGGGGTTTTGGCAGTGAATGTAATGAAGATAACAGTGTAAAATGATCCACTGTTTAGACTACTGCAACCTAAATCTCACTCTTCTTCTGGGTCAGGAGTATCAAGCCTCTGTGTAAACTCAGGAGGGGCTAGTCAAAATACTTAGGTGAGGCCTTCATCTTTTGTCTGGTCCTCTGTGTAGGACACCCCAGTAGTCTAGAAGTTGGAAGCATATATGAAGTCAAAAAAACAGAGTGTAACATATTATTTCCCCTTCCACAGATGAAAGAGTGATTTTGATTTGTTTCAGAGTTCCAAGGAGAGCTAAGCTTGAAGAACCCAACTTGAAAAGTAAAGCATTTTAAACTAAGCTTACTGTTTCTTTATTTCAGGTCCTGCCACTGGTCCCAACGTGGCAAACAATCTGACAAAGCTTTCGGGGTAACCAGATGACCAGGGGATCATCTCCGCTAGCCTTCTTCGAGCCACTTCAATAAATTCAAAACTATGGAACTGCAGGAACTGATAGAGACTGAGGATTCTACTGATGGACTCCAAGTCAAGAAGGCTCACATTGCTTGTGAACACTCTATTACACCTCTCTAGTAGCGGGTAATAACTATACTTGACATTGCGAAGGAACAGTAACATCCTTCTTGCAGTGTTGACCTTGGAAGAATCCACAGTGTCTAAGAGAAGTTCTGCTTTGTTCACAAGTCGTTCTTGAAAACAGTGTGATATTACAGAAGAAATGCTGACCATCAAGACAGACAGGGCCCTGAAGGAGAAAAAAAGACACAAGGATTTTTATATTCCTAACAAAAATGACCAAAATTTAAATTAAATAACTAGATATGGAAAGAAACTAGCAAGCAAATTGTTTCATTTACTTTACTTTTTTTCTAGCATCATAAGAAACGGTTCTCTGGCTCTGACCTGGGAGCTCCATGCTTTCTGCTGCCACATCCAAAAATGTGACAGATGGCTGGGAACATGATGGGCAAACTCAGTATATCCTTCAGAAATCTTAACAATACCAAGTAGCTTTTGCTGTTGTTGTTGTATAGATGAGGATGATGAACTCACAAGAGATGCTGTTATAATGATGACTGACAGATTTCTATCTGCACCCAAAGCCTGGCATCCTCACACTTCCACAAGCCCCAAATAAATGTACCTTGCATCCTGTATGGTTTCCAAGTTCCTATTTACAATATCAGCTATTTTTCCCATTAATGGACTAAAATGTAAATGCTGATCGGCCAGGCAGGTGGAAAATATTGACAGCACATTAATATCAAACCTATAAAAAGAAATTTGAGCAAGATCATTAGTATCAATTAGGATGCTTGATACAGTTATAAAATAATAAGTAACAAAAATGCTAATACACTACTAATACAAGGTGAAGTTTTTTCCAGGGCTGGGAAATAAGTCAGTGGCCCAGCAAATGCCAGGCCCTAGGTTTGGGTTCGATCCTCAACACTAAGAACAAAACAAAACAAGCAACTTCAAGCTAGGCACACACCTTTAATCCCAACGTTCAGGAGGCAGAGGCAGAACTCAGAGGACCTCTGAATTCTAGGCCAGCCTGGTCTACAGAGCAAGTTCCAGGACAGCCATGACTACACAAAGAAACCCTGTCTTGAAAAAACAAACAAACAAACAAACAAAAAAAGAAAACATCAAATTTTCCAAGTTGAGTTGATTATTTATTATTAAAACTACCAAATGGTCAGACTTTTAAAGTTCAAAACTTCAGAAAAATTCAAAAGAGACTCACTCAAAATTATTTGAGTTTCCCTTATTAACTTTTTGAGGTAACACGGAATGTTGACTCATTTGCATACTAGCAAATGAGTAAAAAATCTCTAGATACTAAAAATGATCCAATTTCTTCAAGTGACTGGCAAGACAAAAATGCACTCTTACACATTTCAATGCTTTCCTTCCCTTTCCTCTTTTTTGTTACTTCTGGAGATCAAACCCCAGGGCTTGGACATACTTTGGCAAGCACTAAGCTACATCCCCAGTCAGTAGGTTTTAATTTGTTGCTATTGCTTGTTTTGTTTACTAAAAGCATCAGGATTGGGGTTAGAGATCCAGAGTTTATACTGTTCTTCCAAAGAACCCAAGTGGGTTGCTTAGCACTCCCATCAGACGGCTCACAACTAGTCATAACCCCAGCTCCAGGGGATTCAACACCCTCCTCTGGCCTCTGCAGGCACCTGCACAGTGTTCACAAATCTCCCCTCCCCCACTTGACACAACCACATACACACATAATTTTAAAAAATAAAACAAACAAAAAAAAATCTGTCTCCAAGCATAAGGAAGTTCATGGTAGCACAACACATAACAGCCAAAATTTCTAGTACAATGGGTAAATTTCACACAGCCACAGAACAACATACCACAAAGCAACACAAAGAATCCCAGCACTCAGGAGGCAAGGGCAGGAGGAGTTCTACAAGTTCAAGGCCAGGTTGGTCTACAAAGTAAGTTACACAGAGAAACCCGGTCTCAAAAACAATTTTTTAAAAAAACTTAATAAATAAAGAATCACTGCATCATATATTAGGACACTTCAAAACACATTGAGAAAACTAGATACAGGGATATATACTATAAGATTTTGTTTCTATAAAAACAAACAATAACAACAAACCCTAATTTTTGGCAAGGAGAGAAGATCCTTTTGCAATCCAGCAAGAAGTCTTAGTGACTATGACTAAGCTCAAAGACTTGAGTTCGACACCACACAACTGCTTAAAGTTGTTCTGACCTCCACATACAACCAATGACATGTGCATGCCCCACTATTCCCGTGACCCCTACAAAATGAAGAATAAACAAACGTGGAAAAAAAAACAACTAAGAAGTCAAGATCCTTTTGGGATAACAAAATGGAACCGGAGACTCTAAAGAGAATTTGGGGGAAATGGTGATACTATCTGTGTTGTTTGTTTTTGAGACAAGATCTTCCTCTGTAGTCCTGGATAGCCTAGAACTCATTATGTAGCCTAGGTTAGCCCAGAACTCCTAGAAATCCTCTTGCCTCAGGCCTTTCCAATGCAGAGATTACAAGAATGAACTGCCTAGCATACTGTTTCTCTTTTTAATTTTCTCTCTCTCTCTCTCTCTCTCTCTCTCTCTCTCTCTCTCTCTCTCTCTCTCTCTGTGTGTGTGTGTGTGTGTGTGTGTGTAGTCAAGTCTGAGGACAACTTGTGGGAATCAGTTCTCTTCTATATAGGTTGAGCTCAAGGATCCAACTCAGGTTATTAGGCTTAGAGAGAGAGATCTTCATCAATCACAGAGCACCTTTCTGGTCCTTGTGGTTGCTTTCGGAATCCTCCATCTCTCTCCTACTTTGAGTTTTCTTCCCTTGACTTCCATTTGCCTTATCCTACTAGCAGTGGCTTCTGGCTATCACAGGTTCTTAGGTAGAAAATGCAGAGGACTGTTACTGTCTTGGCTCTCATACATGGAGGAGCTCCCACACGTATTTGTAGAGCATGCTGTATATTCACAAGAGTCCAAATTCTTCTTGATAATCATCAGTTTTGGCCACATGAAAACACAGCTGTGTTTAGAAAGTATGTTTGCAACAACAGTCAACAGCGGTGGACCTGAAGCTTACTTTCTTTTCTTTCCTTCTTTTGAGTGAAGACAAAATTTCTTGACAGCAACACAAAGCAAGCTAAGACTGAAAGGTGCCCTCTAACAGCAACAGGTATTGGTGTAAAGCCTACTTTCTTTAAGAAGCTTCGAAGTGGACTATAAGTTGTAGTCACGGCCGACTCACAGGAATGGAGTGGCAGGACAATCAAGCATGCTCAACAGTGTCATACAACCCTCCACCAACCTAGTGTCTTCTTTTTTCCCTTTTTATAGTCCTTTCAATCTAGGGGTGTTTTGTTGTTGTTGTTAATAGTTATCTAATATATATAGGTGTTTTGCCTGCATGTACCACGTGTGGTACTTGTGCCTGTGGAGGCCAGAGGAGACTCTCTAGAACTCTAAGCTGCCACATGAGTGCTAGGAATCAATTGCCAGGCTATATCTCCAGCCCTGAAATTTAATTTTGTTTGTTTGTTTTATGGAGTCAACTAGAATCTTCTGTTTCTAGAGCAGAATTCTTCAAGAGTCAAAGCAACTAGTTCTCTGTCTTCGACTCTACTGCATTGATATTTTGATTAATATGTATATGGAAAAGCACACTAAAACCTGCTGTGTGGGAACACTTGAAATACTTTCCTTTCTTTATTAAAGAAAGAATATTATTTACACAATTAAAAACTTATTTTCTTTCTTTGAGACAGGGTTCCATGTATCCCAGGCTAGCCTCAAACATGCTATGAAGCCAAGGATGTTTTTGAATTTCTGATCCTCAGCCTTGAGGTGGTTTGAAAGAAAATGGTCCCCATAGGGAGTAGCACTATTAGGAGGTGTGGCTTTGTTGAAGGAAGTGTGTCTCTATGGGGGTAGTCTTTGAGGTCTCCTATGTTCAAGCTACCGTCAGTTGGGAACTCACTTTACTTCCTGTTGCCTGTGGAACAAGATGTAGAACTCTCACCTCTTTCTCCAGCACTATGTCTACCTGCACACCACCATGCCTAGCATGACGATAATGGACTAAAGCTTTGAACTGTAAGCCACCGCAATTACATGTTTCCCTTTGTAAGAGTTACCAGCGTCATGGTGTCTCCTCACAGCAATAAAACTCTAAGACAAGCCTCCATCTCTATAGTGCAATACCAAAGCTGTTTTACTGTGGTGCTGGGATGGAATCCTGCCCTCATGTATGCTAGCACACATTCTACCAACTAAGCTTCATCCCCAGGCCCAGTAGATTTGTGTGTCTGTGTCTGTGTGTGTGTGTGTGCGCGCAATTTCATTCTTTTTCTATATTTCATCATGATAACTGCCCACAAATAACCCTGATCTTATATGACAAACTCAGAGTACTTACCCCTCCAGTCTTTTCCAAGCTTCTATAACCAGTGCTTCAACTAGTGGGTGATGGGACTCAACAGCAAACCTCAATAAAAACAAGGGAAAGTAATCTTTAACTATGAAAGCCAAGAGATTACAAGTGAATCAACAAAAATAGAACTGAGTAACCACTGGCTTGTTACTAGACATTAATATGACTTAACCTACTTATCTGTTATATCTTCATTGCCTTTAGCCAATCACATTTCTCCAATATTCCACAATCAACCAGTCTCACATACTGAAAGCTAGTCATTTCTACTCTCCTAACTTTAAAAACTATTCCACTAACTGGTATCAAAAAATATTCTGAAAATATTATAAGAAAAACTGTCTTCTGGAGGAATGGCTTTCCCACTTTAAAAATATTCTTAGAAAATTAAAATATAAACTATAAATGTTTTCATAAACTGAAAAGCAACTTACTGTTTTACACTGTATAGCACATTCACCAGGGTGTGATCACTCATTGCTTCGATGTGATTTGTTGTTACATTGCAAAGAGTAAGAAACTGGGGATGGTTTCTGATACACTGAACATTTCTTTCCAAGTTGGTCTTCTGCTTCTGAAACTGCCAGAGTACATCAAATGCACAGCCCACTTGCTGTTCTGAAAGTGTGGCCGTATTTCTTTCAATGAGATCGAATACTTGTTCTTCATCTGTACAGTTCTGCATTTGAGTTACTAGTGACTCACAACTGAAGGGGCGTAACTGAAATGCTCTCCAAGAGAGGCGAGAGATGCCTCTTAGATGGAACATATTTATAACGGATGGGTCTCCAAAATACAGATTTCTTTTCCTTTGTTAGCACGATTTTTCTTTGGTTTAAAAAAAAAAAAAAAAAAAAAAAAAAAAGGTCATCGGCAGCTAGAAGTCAGGAAGTATGTGATGATATAAAAACTGATTTTCACTCGTGTGTTTTATTTACATCCTGATCTAAATCCATTCCGATAGAATCTGTAAAACAACTGGTTTACCTTGGTTACTCTTACCTCATTAATATCAAATTACTCTCCCAAATTCAAATTTCAAGTTTGAGGGTTTTTCTTTTTTGTTTGGACTACAGACTTCGTTCTTGGTTTGAACCAGCCAGATTTGATCCAAAATGAAACATCCAAGAAAAGGGTTTTGTTTTGTTTTTCCTGCACTCAATTTTTAAAAGTTTCTCTTCGATTCTGACCACAAAAGCAGCAGAACAAAATAAAGTCAAAACTGGTTTGTTTGATTTTTTAAAAGGTATTTGTTTGCTTGTTTGTGGAGATAGGGTTTCACAATCTACAAAGATTATAAAAAGGTGACCTTGAGGAAACTAACTATAGGAGAGGCCTCGGAAGTGTGACACAATTGGAAGTGAGGTGAACAGGCGTGAGCGGAGTATAACCCTACGGTTTACAAGTGACAGGTAACCAGTGCGCCTGGCCGGCAGGTGAGCTGGCTCTGAGCCAACGTGGTCTCCGCCTGCCCAGATAGCAAGGGGTTCGGCTTGCCCCGGTCTCCGGCGCCACAGAAAACCCAAACCCGCAAGGAAACCGCGACTGCTAAAGTAAACGGTGCGTCCCGGGCAGAACCTTTCAGGGTGCGGAAGACAGAGCCGCTAACAAACCCGCGAGTCCTTTCCCCACGCCCGCCACGGACCGGACAGGGCTGCTCCCGACGGTTCAGAGGGTAGGGATCATCCAAGGCCCGGAAACAGCAACAGGAGACTGGAATCTCTGGCTCACCCGTCGCATCCCGGGGTGTTTAGCCCTTCTGGGTGAAACATCTTTCTGTAACAGTGTCCCAGAGCGGAAGAAACGCAGCCCCAGGGAGGCATGCACCACGGAAGTTTGCACTACATGTCCCAAAGGGCACCGCGAGAGGCATAGGCAAGCCTTATGCGTGCATGGAATTCTGGGCTTGGTAGTTTCATTCTCATTGACTGAGGCGTTCTTAGTGATTGGAGGAAACACAGGTCCCTTAAGTGCATCTCTGCTATGAAGATGTTTCCCAGTTTCTGAAGCACTGACATAGTTTTAATATACACTTTTTGGTGTATATTCTTTTTGGTGATTCTAGAGGGCCTAAGAGGTGGCTCAGTAGGTAGGTACATATGCTTGCTGCCAAGCCTGATGACCTAAGTTCTATACCAGGGACCCACATGGAAGAAGGGAGCCAACTCTTTCATGTTGTCCTTTGACGCCGCAAGCGCGCACACACAGATGTATATAGTTTTAAATTTTCATCAAATATTTATTTATGTGCAAAATGTATATTTTACCTCTTTAAATGCTTAAAGTAACTACTTGGATTATCTGTACCTGGTGATTAAACACATTTCGTTTTGGTAATTACACAAAAAGTATTCCCTGCCCAATAGATGTATGTATTTTTGAAAGAATGAAACAGGATTATTGCTATGAAATGTTATGTAAATCTTTTTTGTTGCTGTTTTTTGTTTTTGTTTTGTTTTTAAAGGCTGTTATGGTATCTGGAAAGAAGGCTCAGCAATTAAGATCACTGGCTGTTCTACAAAATGATCAGGGCTCAATTCCCAGGACTTACATGGCCCCTTACAACCACTTGCCACTCTGGTTCTGGGGAATCTCATGCCCTCTTCTGGCATGTACAGGCACCAGGAAGGTCTGAAGCCCAATTAGAGAGCTATTGGTAACCACCAAGGTAGGCATGCCACTACTGTGCCCTTAGGGTTATCACGCCATGCTGGTCTTCTTGTAGCTCATAGGCATCATAGGTGGGTAGGATGTGATTGCTTCCTTCCTGCCTTCGAAAGCTGGCACAGGGCCTTCTGGTGTCATGAAAGCCAGTCCTCAGAGAGGAAGCTTTCCAGCTCAGGGAAAGTGCATCTGAAGTGCATAATGTCCTCAACAATAGATACTCACCTTCCACCTCTGGGTGGCAACTAAGTGGAACAGCAATAGCCTGCAATGTTTGGGATCTCTTGGAAAACCCTTACTGGCTTAGTTATTTTCTTACTTCTTATAGGCACTGAAATTAGTTTTTGTCCCTTTTTTCCCTTAGGAACTCCAGCTAAAACCAATCCTGCCACATTTACTTTTACGTGGCTCAGACAGGCCCCATTAACTGCTTTCCACACCCTTTTTTTCCCTCATTCTCTCCTGAATGTTTTAGCACTTCATAAAACCAACATACACTCGAGTCTAAATCATTCAGATCTGCCACAGGCTGGCATATCTCAAAAGATCTTGTTCCATTATGGACTTGGCAAAATACCATGCAAATGCCTGAGGTCCTTGTTGAATTATTTTTCAACTCTTCTGTGAACATCGATCAATATGACCTGGTGAGCTACATATCTAACACTTCTCTCATGTTCAATTTCCTTAGCAGTCTATGCTTCTTCTATTGCCTTTCAGTCCCTGGTGTTCATGGTAACTACTGCCAAGGACAATCAATTGTTCCTAATGATTCATCTGAGCCAGTCTATCAAAGACTGAGTTCCCTCATATGGCTTCAGATTATACAGATTTTTCTGTTTCTCCACTTGCACAGGACTCAGACTGATCCCACCCATCCTGATGTCATGCAAATGAACCCACAGCCAGATTGTAAAGGGTTCTTTAATTTCTACTTTGAAAGTCTCAATTCAAGCCGGGCAGTGATGGCGCACACCTTTAGTCCCAGCACTTGGGAGGCAGAGGCAGGCGGATCTCTGTGAGTTTGAAACCAGCCTGGTCTACAAGAGCTAGTTCCAGGATAGCCTCCAAAACCACAGAGAAATCTCACCTCGAAAAACCAAAGTCTCAATTCAAAAAGTTCAAAGGCAGAGTGTGCTCTAATACTCTTAGTGTCCTCTACTCAGCCACTATTATAAATTAATTAATTTGTTCATTTTGCTTCCTTGAAACAGGGTTTATCTCTGTAGCCCTGGCTGTCCTGAACTCACTCTGTAGACCAGGCTGTCCTCAAACTCAGGGATCCCCCTGTCTCTGCCTCTTGAGCCCAGTTCTGTCTGGCCATTATTAGGCTCCAGTCTACATGTTGAATCTTGGATTTCCCATCCTTCTGTATTAAATGTCAGACTTAAGGTCTTTTCTACCTCCTTTCTTTCTGATTCTTCCATAGATTCCAAGTTGGGTTCTAGCAAGGGCTCTTTAGTGCAGATTTAGTGTATACTGTCTTTTCCTGTGTTCTGTCAGCTGTAAGAAATGCAAGCCAACATCCCCATCTCATTCTCCCCCTTTCTTGCCAAATCTAGTATGAATGTGGAGAATAGATTCACGTGTCTTTTTCCTGCTGTAATTCCCCCTTCAAATGTGAAAGTTCTTTCTGGACAACAACTCACACCCAACAGAAGCTATGCCAAAACCACAGCTTTACTATCATGTTCTGTATGTGTTACTACCCAAGACTGCAAAATATTCTTTAATCTATCAGCTGTTTGGGAGACATCCCTGTGTTAATTAGGATTTCTATTGATGTGATAAAACACCATAACAAAAACAAACCCAGGGGGTAAGGAGTTTGTTTAATATTACAACTCAGGGAGGAAAGTCAGGGCAGGAACGTTGAGGCAGGAGCTGAAGCAGAGGCTATGGAGAAATACTGCCTTACTGGCTCTCGTAAAACCTAGGACCACTTTCCCAAGAGTGGCACCACCCACAAGGAGGTAGGCCCTTCTTTTACCAATTATTACCCAATAAATGACCCAAATCTGATAGAGGCATTCTCTCAACTGCAGTTCCTCTTCCCAGATAACTCTAGATGTGTTTAGTTGACAAAAAAACCTACCACAATTCACACATGCTAGGTAAACCCCATTCATCATTGAGGTATGCCATTAGGAAAGTCCCCCCCCCACCAAGGATACACCACCCTCAGATGGCTCAGCCTCAGTTGCTCATCTTACCATCCATTGCAGGGACCACGCAACTGCTCCCCTCAAATGCATCTTTGGTTCTTTCAGACCCTGTCTAGGAGTGTTGTGTTCCTTTTCCTAGGGAGACATGAAGAAACGTCTATTTATTTCAGTAAGGACACAGCAGATGACAAACCAAAAGACCAACTCTACTCAAGTCTATCTTAGTGAACCCATGAATTTACATTCTACAAATGTGGATGAGGGGTTATTTACAGGATAATGAGTGACTAAAAGGCAGATGCATCACCAAAACAACACCCTCAGCCTGAGTGACAACTTGCAAAAGCTGCTTTCAGGCAGCTCAGCAAACAGTCTCCTCTCCCCCAGCAGCTAGTTAGCTCATCTAACCTCAGAGAGGGATCCTGTGAGTTTCATCACTTTCTCACTAATTTTTCTTTGGGGTGGGGGGGTGGGGTTTGAGAAAGGGTTTATGTGTGTATGTTCCTGGCTGTCCTGGAACTCACTTTGTAGAACTCACTGAGATCCGCGTGTCTCTGCCTCCCAGGTGCTGGGATTAAAGGTGTTCACTCCCACTGCCCCATTTAATTTTTGCAGTTTTTTGGTTTGTTTGTTTGTTTTTTGAGACAGGGTTTCTCTGTGTGGCTTTATAGATCAAGCTGACTTTGAACTCACAGAGATCTGCCTGCCTCTGCCTCCCAAGTGCTGGGATTAAAGGTGTGAGCCACCACTGTCTGACAATTTTTAAAAGCTGTATTTCTTTATTTGTGTATACCTATGAATGTGTGTGTAAGTCTGTACATATGTGTATACAAGTGTACAGGGGCCAGAGGAGGGCACTGAATGTCTGCTTCTATCACTCTCCAGCTATGTATTTTAGGGCAAGTTTTCTTCCTGAATCAGAGGCTTGTATTTTCTCAGCTTGGCTGGAAGCCAGTGAGTCCCAGCAACCACCCTACTCAGAATTGGACTTCCAGGCTTACCCAGGAAGCCTCTCTTGTT